AATAACAATGTATAGGTTATAATTAACAAAATATGACGATCTGTGACAAACTAAATTTCAAGCGGGTGAAGCCGCGGGCAATACTACATATTTCATACTAGCTTTTTGCCCGCGACTTCTTCTGCGATGAAGTGGAAAATGGTTCTAATAGAATTAAAATATTCTAAGAAAATTAATTTTGTAAAATGGTTATATTTTTTGATATAAAATCTACAAATTATTATGTTTAAATATTTGAATACTTACAAAATTATGAGATCTTTCTAAAACAAAATTAAAACACTACACCTGCCGCAGATTTCTTTTTTGTTTTTCCTTCAGGTGCTAAAATCACCAGGCTATTGTGTGCGCATACTCTGGAGTATTCCACATACAACTGGTCGTCGGAGAAGCATTTTATTTTATTTTTATTTTATTTTATTCAGAACAACAAACAATTACATAATATAGCTTATACCAGTATTAATGACTATTATTAATATTACTAATTATGTAACCAATAACATTGTTCGCAAAGTAATTTTCAAAAAAGGAAAACAAAAACCAAAGCAGCGACAATCTACTAGTGTTACGTATTAATATAACAATTTATATAACAAATACAAGACAATAGTGCCGAAACTATTATGATACACAAAAGTGAAATAATTATAAATAAATTAAATTTTCACTTAATAAATTAAGAGTGCAAGAACTTCTAAATAGATTATGATGAAACTTTACAGTGTTATTATTTATATATCAGAATAACATATGGGCTACAATTCACAACGATTCGTGACACACTCAACCTCACGCGGGAAAAGCCGTGGGCAAAGTCCAATATTACCTTTATGAATATAAAGACAGAAATTAAATTAATCCTGAATGCTCGTACTAATAACTTTTAATTTTGAATGGATTGCATTTTTGAACTGCCCAAGAGATAGCGTGAATAAATCTATATTAGCAAAGTTTTTATTATACGAATGCATGATACGCCGTAGCGGTGCGCGTTGGCCCGCTATAGTCTTACAAATTCCGGGTGCAAAAACACCATGTGTACGAGTGTTGCGGAGACGTAGGGAGCGACCGGGCAACTGGTAGAATATGTGGTCAGTTAACTGTGTACAATCAAACAGACCGCCGAGTAGAATTTCTGAAAAACAAGTACTAAAACCGTACTGAAAAAAAAAGTATTAATAATAATGTTATCTAATTTATTTATTAAACGTCGAATTTTATCAAAGATTTTGGACTAAAGTTTTTGAAAATATTTTATAGCCTACATAAAAAAAAATTTGGATTCTAAATCGTGAAAGATTTTTTTTTCGGAGCCTATTGCCTCCAAACAAACCAAACAAACAATTAAATCTTTCCTCTTTTATTAGTATAGATTTAACAACAAAGCTTCCCTCTCGAAACAAAACGCTTCTTTTTCTTCTTCACGAAACAAAACTCAAAGCGGATAAATAAATAAACAAATCTTTGGACAATTTCACAGCGCCATCTAGTCCAAAAGTAGGCAACCAATATGCTTGTGTTAAGGGTGCTAGCAAAATGAATATACTTTTTTATAATTTATTTATTAAATTAAATACATGGTACCTACATATTATACATAGTTACACCCAGATCCGTCAAAGAAATTAAAATTCATCATTTCAATTTCTGCTCGACCGGCCGACTTAATAATAGAAATACAAGAACAGTGCACGCATATGGCGAATGTAAAATTAGGTTTTTAACGTTGTGGAACCGCAAGTGGCTTGATTTTTTGAAGTTCATCTTCCGATCGTATTGCAAATACAGGAGACGTGTCGCTGGCTCTGACGAGTATGGTGCCGGTTTTGATCCACACATGACGATATCCTTTGTCGTAAGCGGCATCTCTGACTTTTCGAAATAATTGTTTATTCTCCAAGGTAAGGTGTTCGTTGACATAGATGTTACGCGGAGGCCCAGGGATTTCTAATTTGTCTGATGTAATTCCCTTCTTAAGACGCACAGCAGATATGAAGTTGTCGCGTTTAATTTGGCTGCAGAGTTTCACCACGATATTTCTTGGCCTAGAACTTTTTGGGTCCATTTGGGCAACACGATGAATTCCCACAATGTCTTGACTGCAAAGAGGGTAATTAACAGCAGTTGCTATTTTTTCAACAGTTGTAATTAAATTCTCTCCACGCTTTTCTGGAAGATTACTAATCTCTATATTGCAGCTACGCGCTTTTTGTTCCAGGTCCGCCAATTTAGATTGTAGTCTCGTGATTATTTCAGACGAATTGGATACTTCGACTTGCTTTTCAACCTGTGTAAGGCGAGCACAAATTGTCTGTGTTTTTTGGTTCAAGTCGTCATATTTTTCACTTAGAAAATTCATTGACTGCTTAATTTCTTGAAATTCATTTAGAATCAATGAAAGTTTCTCATCTTGTCTAGTAAACCAATTTTCAAGTTGTTTATTCATGCTGGCTTGAAAAGCTAGGAGTTGACTTTGGAGCTCATGATCAGAGTTGCGCGAAGTGCCCTTCCTCTGGGTCACATAGGAGGGTGTTGTTTGTTCTTCAACAAGAACATTGTCCACACTCATGTCTCCCCGTCCAACCAGCTCATCGGGTTGACTTATAAAGGTGCGATCAAGTCTGCTCATATTACCAATGTGAAGTGTCTGAATCAGAAAGTACTCTGTGCAGGTGACGTATCTTGCTCACGTAAGGTGCGTGTGCGTGGGGGTCGATCAATCACTATTCCTCTCACTCGCACTTGTGGACGGTATGGCGCACACTGGGTTATACACGGATCACACAGCTGACTGTCACTGCGACGCGAAGCGGAATGAATTGCTATAATTAATTAGGTCATATAATGTCCATTTTTGAGTTCAGTCTTTACACTAAGCAAGGCTAAACTCCTGAATCGTCGTTATAACTGATCCCTGCATTGTCGAACTGTCTTAAGTTAAGACCTAAAGCCCACTTATATTATACTTATCGCTCGCGCGTAATTATATTGCTGTCGCGCTCGCACACTCACTGCGGGTGCCCGTCGCACAGTCGCGACAGCAATATAATTAATTACGCGCCAGCGATAAGTATGGGTAGCTTGGGGTCATTGGACAAAATTCTACGTGCTCACAGACCAGACTGTAACTAGAAACTCTTCCCCAGGGTTTCCAAGTGCTAATCGAGCGCGAGTGGCTCGACTTCGGCCACAAGTTCGCCGACCGCTGCGGCCACCAGTTCGCGGCGGAGGAACCCAACGAGCGGTCGCCGATATTTCTGCAGTGGCTCGATGTGGTCCACCAGATGATGGCTCAGTACCCGTGCAGCTTCGAGTTCAATGAGGCGTACCTGGTAAGTTAGATAAATAAATAAATAAATTTATTTCTGTATGAAAACAGCATAAATAAGAACACGTTTCAATTAAAATGAGTGTACGGACATAATTAATAATACCTAAACTAAGGAAAATATTTTGCCTGTATCTTAGGTATCTATTTTAAAAGTGCTTACTAAACAATATCAAAATATTAATGACACCGCGCCTTCCCGCTACCTTTATGAGCTCATTAGTCCACCTTGTGGGTGGACTTCCTACGCTGACATTTTGGGAAGGTAGATTTATTTCCGCCGTTAGAAGATAAGCTGTATTTCGTATCCTTTATGCTAATTCTCAATATGGCAACCGACTCGCTAATGGACAACTTCTCATTATGACTACTTCTGATTAGGGCTACTAAAGGTTTCTTTTATTTCTTAATTAATCATTAATGCAACATTAATGATTGAATAAGTCGAGTCTGATACCGACACCATTGAATTATTATTGCTTCCTTTGGGAAGGTGGTAGGTTATTATTATGCACCAGATGATGGCCCAGTACCCGTGCAGCTTCGAGTTCAATGAGGCGTACCTGGTAAGTTGGGAAGGTGGCATTATTTCTGCCATTATTTCATAATAAATACTGAGCGGAAGACGCAGTGGCTCACTATTTTCTTCTACATTCGTTTTATGTTGTTATCTATACAGGGTGTTAGGTAAATGGGTATATGAGCCGACACTAGCCCATGTTAACATGGTCATATAAATGGTATGGTGAAGTCAGAAAATTGATATCTTCATTTTAATTATTTTTATTTTCATACAAATCGGATTTTATAAAATTTATTTTGTATGAAAATTAAAAAAAATAAAATGATGATATCAATTTTCTGACTTCACCATACCATTTATATGACTATGTTAACATGGGCTAGTGTCAGCTCATATACCCATTTACCTAACACCCTGTATATATAAAAGAAAGTCGTGTTAGTTACTCCACTTATAAGTCAAGAACGGCTGAACTGATTTAGCTGAAAATTGTCAGGGAGATAGTTTAGAGCCAGGAGAAGGACATAGGATACTTTTTGTCCCGTTATTTATTGCCATTAAGGCGGAACAAAGTTCGCCGGGTCAGCTAGTTGTTTATAATTTGTGCTTACTGTTATCAATAAATTCTATTCTATTCTCTTCTATATCTGTTCTTTTTTGTCTTACACAAGTTACCACAATAAATTATGAGTACATAAAAAATAAGGATATATCGGTATCCAATATTAGTGTTAGAAGTAGGTTTACAACAAAAGAACAGTGTTAGACGCGGATCGAACTAGTTCTTTATTTTTTAATGCTGCACTAATTTAATTCCTTTTGATGAGTTCCTCGAATCGGCAGTCTGACACGGAATTCATTGTAATGTTTTTTTTATTAAGATTGAAACCTTAATTATTACGAAAACAGTTTCTGCCACTGTGTGGCATTTCCCTCAAAAAATGCCTCATTTCAAAATCTACATTTGCATTCTCAGATAAAGCTGTAATTACTATAAAACCCGTTCCTGCCACGCTGTGGCAAATGCCTCAAAATGCCTCATTCAAAATATCCTTCTACAGATAAAGCTAGCCACGCACTTGCACTCGTGTTTCAGATTAAAACAGTTTCGGTTACGCGATGGCATATGCCTCAAAACGCCTCATTCAAAAGGATAGTACCAGGGTTTGGACCAAGTGTTGCCCAGAATCATCCCATAGTGCATTTTGTTCCCCAGGCCTATACTAATATGTAAACCGAAGCGCACTAAAACCTATCCCTGGAGTTAAGAGAAAAAAATAGTTTTATTTTGAATTATTTACATACAAAATATCATCGATGTATACGTACTACGCATAAGATTTCGCGATTGTGGTATTAAATAATACTCAATATTAATATGTTGAACTTAACCATACTGCATCCGTACACGTTACTTTAGTGCGATTTAGACATTCTTTATAAACGATTTAGCACTGTTTTAATTGTTTGGTAAGTTGATATAAATTCATTATTTCCAAAATGAAGCAAGAAGTTTTAGTTTTCTATCCTTACAAAAATCAATTTTTTGGTGTATTACAATCGATTATTGAAGTTACTGTAAGCTAAAACTCCATGCTCCATTTAGGAAATAATGAGTTTCTGTCAACTAACCAAACTACTGCAACAGCGTAGTACGTATACATCGATGATATTTTGTATGTAAATAATTCAAAACAAAACTCTTTTTTTCTCTTAACTGCAGGGATAGATTTCAGTGCGCTCCGGTTTACAAATTAGTATTGGCCTGAGGAACAAAATGCACTATGGTTTCATTCTGGGCAGCACTTGGTCCAACTTCCATACATGGATTGGCACTGTCCTTTCCTTCTCACAGATAAAGCTAGCCACGCACTTGCACTCGTGTTTCAGATAAAACAGTTTCTGCCACGCGGTGGCATATGCCACAAAGTGCCACATTAATTTCCTTCCATCCGATAAAGCTAGCCATACACGTGCACTCGTGCATGTTCAGATAAAAAACAGTTTCTGCCACGCGGTGGCATAAATCCCTCAAATTTTTTTCTTCAAAATATGCCTCTTCATACAGATAAAGCTGGCCACGCACGTGCATTCGTGCATGTTCGGCACGTTCCTATGCAACACGCGGCGCGAGCGCGCCGAGTGCCGCGCGCCCGAGCAGCTGGCCCAAGTCTGGCAGTTGTTGAGGGCTCCTGCGTACAGGAACCATTTGTACGCGCCGCACCCTGCACAGGTATGTAAATAATACGCTTCATCTCTCTTAGCCTTAGGCTGGTTTTAGAATCACACTGACGCACGATGACCGTCAGCGCTGACAGCCGAAATGTATGAAGCGTACGCGCCGAGCGATCAGCGTCACTCAGGAACGTTTCTCTTCAATTTCAATGAGGGTTTTCGCGATTGTAAAATCCGCTAGGTGGCAATACCTAGACGCGAGGTCCAAATGCTGCGTGATTGGTGGATTTTGACATATCTCTCAATGTTATGTCAAAAATAACCAATCATGCAGCATTTGGACTACGTATTGCCATCTGGCGGATTTTTCAATCGTGAAAACCCTCATTACATACATATTGATGTCAGCGCCGACGATCAGCGAGCGGTCAGCGCGATTCTAAAACCCGCCTTAGGCCGCGTATCTACTAGAGGCAGATATCCACTCGGACCTAGCTAGTGGCTGCCTCGTCCCGAGCTATACTATACTTATGACTATCGTTCGTTCGTTCGTTTCAGCCAAATGACGTCCACTGCTGGACAAAGGCCTCCTCCAAGGTTTTCCACAATGCACGGTCCTGCGCTGCCCGCATCCAGGCTCTTCCCGCGACCTTCACCAGATCGTCGGTCCAACGTAATGAGGGCTATCGTTTTAGCGCTCACTAGTTGGCGCCACTGTAGAGTAAGGTCCTGTCACTTGCTTGTAGCGAAGACAGTGGCGCCGACTGGTGAGCGCTAAAGTGGTAGGAGGACTATCGCATTTGCACTCATCAAGATGGCGCCACTGTAGAGTAAGGTCATGTCAATCGCCAGGGGTGCCAACTGTTAAGTATAAAAACGATAGCCCTCATTATATTACTGTCCCGACTGTGCGACAGGAGGCCGCAGTGAGTGTGCGAGCGCGACAGCAATATTACACACGCGAGCGATAAGGATGGGTAGCTTGGTGTCATCGGACGAAATTCTATCTGCTCGGCGACCGGGCTTTATATCGTAATGTGTGTAACTCATGAATAATTTAGGTTAAGAATTGCTTTGGACTTTCATACCTATACAATAACGTTGTATGTCCCTTGCAGGAGGTGCTATGGCCGGAGTGCACGGTGCGCGCGATGCGTCTATGGGGCGCGTTATGGGGTGGCGAGCGCGCTGAGCCTCTCGATGAGCCCTTACCGCCCTCTGCCCCGCCCGCGCCCACCAAGCCGCCAGGTAACCGCCTTAGAGTTGATAGTATCCGCCCTAGAGATTATAGTAACCGCCCTTGAGTTGATACTATCAACTAGTCAACAACTAACAACCGTCCTAGAGTTGATAGTAACCGCCCTAGTGTTGATAGTAACCGCCCTAGTGTTGGTAGTATCCGCCCTAGATATGATAGTAACTGTCCTAGAGATGATCATAACCGCCCTAGAGTTGATAGTAACCGCCCTAGAGTTGATAGGAACTGCCCTAGAGATGATAGCAACCGTCCTAGAGATAACAGTAACCACCCTACAGATTATAGTAACCGCCCTAGAGTTGACAGTAACTGCCCTAGAGATGACAGTAACCGCCCCAGAGGTGATAGTTACCGCCATAGAGTTGATAGTTAACGCCCTAGAGTTGATAGTTACCCCCTAGAGTTGATGGTAACCGCCCTAGAGAGGATAGTAACTGCACCAGAACTAATAGTAACTACCCTAGAGCTCTAGTAACCGCCCTAGAGTCAGTAGTAACAGCTCTGGAGCTGCTAGTAACCGCCCTTGACTCGGTAGTAACAGCTCTGGAGCTGCTAGTAACCGCCCTAGAGCTGCTGATGACCCCCTACACACGCTAGTAACTGTTCTAAAGCCACTACTAGCCGCTCTAAAGCCCTTAGTTAATGCCCCTTTATTTTTTTAAAGTCATCCAATGTAATTTAAATTTTTAGTTTAGTAGAGAAAATTTATTTATTTATTTATTTATTTTATTGGGCTATCAACATGAGATACAGTATTAAACACAATTAAAAAATTAAACAATTAAGCCAAAGGTCTCTAGCTAACTGCTCCCACACGATAACCACAGCATGCATAATATTATAATGTAACCCGTGAACTTTACACAATACAATAACATAATACCATACCATAATTTTACCATACCATAATTTTTCTGTTCTACTGTATCTATATTAATTTTATCTCGATTTGTTTATTATCTAGAATTTGTTAATTAATTAATTCTGTTTAAACAGAATTTAATTTTAATTTAATTTAATAATTTGTGTAATTTTTTGACTATATATAATTTTATTGTAATCGATGTGGTGACTAAACATGTAAGCGCTTTGGGTTTTCTGTAAGCTTATTATGTTGCTCATTAAATAAATAAATAAATAAAATAAATAAACATAATATAGTAGTAAAATGTTAGTGTTTTTCTAATTAGATAATATTTTGTTGCAGGCCTAATGACAAAGACGAGATCGTGTGACAATCTCCTAAACGAAGGCGAGAAGAGAACGACCCAACGAAGATGCAGCGATCCCAGCATAGCGCCCGACGTTATGTAAGTTAACCATCGTAAACGTTATTGAAACACCTTTTGTGTTATTTATTTATTTATTTATTTATTTATTTATAATCTGCTTGAAGGCTTACAGAAAGTCCAAAGCGCCAACAAGTTATACAATACAGATAATTTATAATATCAATTTCAATATGTAAAATTGTCAAATAATTAAAACGATAAATTAAATAATAGTCAAATAACATTAAAATTAAATACATAAAATAATTAAGTCCAAAATAGAATGTCGTACCTAAGACTACTAATAAGAATAAGAGATAAATACATTTATGTCCAGAGATCAATGTCAAAGTTATTCAAAGTTATTACTTACACAAAAATCTATGAATTAATACCATTATTGTACCTAAGCGGTCGGCAAATATGTCGATATCGTGCTGAGCAACTAAGTCCCCGATTAAACGTAATGCGCGGGTAGAAGGCGCGCTCGCTGCGCGAGTGGTGGAGTGGTTATGTGATATGCGACCATTTCAAACCGGTTTCAAACTGGTCGCGTCATGTGTGGTCTCTCAACGGAATCTATGGCAGAAATTTAGATGCAACTCAAAAGTAACTAGAAGTTGCAGTTTCGTTGCAATTGCGTTTCACCGTGTGTTCTGGGCCTTGCTTACACATGAAACAGGTCATAAATAAACTTATAGATGACCCACGCTGAACTGTCCCACCAAACTCAATGACAGGGGGGCGCTACCATCGTTCAACAATATGGTTTCCAACATGGCAAAAATCGGAACCAGCGATCCGGTATTGACGGTGGCGCCCCACTGTCAATGTCATGCATAGGACAGTTCAGTATTTTAGAACTATACGTTTTGACATTTTTCTTTAAGACAGACCTTCAACAAGGGTATTATGGTCCCATGTTCGTCTATGCAAACACCTGATGTTAAGTTTAATGCAGTCTAACAACATACCTGCACCTATATTGCCTATTCACTCTCGCTTTGAGGAGGCCTAGAGAATAATGTTCGGGAAAGATATCAGCTGGCAGCGAATTTCAGTCCCTAGCTGTTCGCATTATTAAAGAGCTATGCTTCAACAGACATATACAGGGTGTTAGGTAAATGGGTATATGAGCCGACACTAACCCATGTTAACATAGGCATATAAATGGTATGGTGAAGTCAGAAATTTGATATCATGATTTTATTTTTTTTAATTTTCATACAAAATAAATTTTATAAAATCCGATTTGTATGAAAATTTAAATAATTAAAATGAAGATATCAATTTTCTGACTTCACCATACCATTTATATGACCATGTTAACATGGACTAGTGTCGGCTCATATACCCATTTACCTAACACCCTGTATATGACAGTTCACACACAATCGCGCGACCTGTCATTGGCCTATGATCGCGCCGGCGATGGCGATCTGCACGTTTGGTGTGGTTGAAGCTTTAGCAAAACGCTTAGTGAAAGCTGGTGGAATGTTCACAATGGACAAGTTTCATGATGTTGAAAACATTAGATTTCACTGAATGAGATTAAAATATAGACCAAAACTAAAAAGCCGGTGAAGTTATTTTTGAAATCCATCAAGAAATGGCTGAGAAATTAATTATTTAAATTACCTCCATATTTTCGCGTGGAACTTAAAAATAGGCCTTGATTTCAGGCCACCTGTTCAAGTTTCAATCACAATGCTTACCACCCCTAACGCTAGAATGACACTATAATGTCAAAGTCTTCTTTTTCTTTTTAAATTAATATGGTCAGGTCTTGGATAAAGTCAAAAAAGGTTACACAATTTTACTAAGAAAGAATCTTGAGTGACCCTGGCTGAAAAATTAAAAACTACTAGATTTAAAAAAAATGGATCTGTCAACAGCACTGGACCAGGGGTGATTTACTGTTTGTACTTCGAATGACTGTTGTGACTACTTCGAATCAAAATGGCGCGAATTTTGTTATGCGCAACTTTAGGGCCCTGTAACTTTTGTATTTGTGGAGATATTTTCATGATTCTTTCACAATTATAATTAGTTTTACTTATATTTTCAAGTTTTATTAAAAGAAAACATTTGGAAACTTGTCCATGGTACGCTAATTTGCGTCTGGGTCACCGGTGAATCATGACCTTACACCGATTTAAAAAAAAATCGTCCTTTTTTAGTCAACTGTGGGCTGCTACAATAAATACTTACTCTTCCAGGAAACTGTCGCTCATTTCCGCGTCATTTTAGCTCTAAAACACTTCATACCTTATTACCAAAGGCATAAGGACTTATTTCAATATTTTCTCCAGGAAACTGTCGCTCATAGACGCGTCTTCCTGCGAATCGAGGCGCGGCTGCCGCGGCCTCACCGACAGCTGCGTCGACGAGCTGCCGCTACAAACACCTGTACAGAACAACGGCGATCAGGTGAGACAGGAGATGATATACAGGGTGTTAATTTCAATCTCCGCCATATTTAAGAAGTTGATTAAGTAGCTTATTCTGATCAATCAGTAAAAAAATTGACTTCGAAAATTTAAAAACGAACTTTAACTTTAGTTAGTCAAAGAAAAATACCTATTTACACTACCTCCTTTAAGTGGCTTCCTTCAGTAGGCTATCCGACATGATAGCGAGCGATCCGCATAGCTCGAAGGTGCCGCAGTGTAAACGTATTGCAATATTGATTGCGAGCCACAGTACAGTTCTGCCGTGCTAGCGATATCAGCAATAACTCTTTTTTTTGGCAAAACTATAATGAGCTCTATTTCAATGAACTGACGGGAGTTTTTTTAAAAGCAAAATATTGAAGTTACTGCTAATATCACTAGCACGGCAGAGTTGATGTCGCACGGAAAATATTCGCTAAAAATTCCACTTTCGTTTATGTTTTTTTTGGTGGATAATGCGTTTATATAAGTCCATAATAGATCACCTAAATAAATATGGCGAGAATTGAAATCAACACTAGATCGTTTCATCCACAAAGACGTGCCCCACCAATTTTTGGTCTCGGTCGCGCGGGGTGCGGGGAGTGTGATCCGAGCAATCCGTAAGGCATTATTGTAGAGTGCGTGTGCACTCATGGATAATATACCGATAAGACTCAAACATTAGCGGAAGAATGTTGGGGCGCGTCTTCGTGGATGGGCACTATCCATACGTATTTAATCGCTCTATGATATTTATAGTACGAGGGCTGGTTTACTGCCTAATGATGACACTCAAAACGGAGGGGGGCTGTCGGCCAAGGCACGCTAGTTTGCGATGGCAACCATCGCTATGCGCAAGCAGTGTAGCTCTCGTGTCTAGGTCGGCAGGGGTGCCCAATGACCAATAGATTATGAGAGCTGAAGGCATTGCCAGTCCATAAAGATTTCATTTTGATAAAATTATAAATTGTATACTTATTTCGGTCAGTTGATTTAAAAATAGTGACGTTAGAGTAGGCGCACACCGTTGATTTTAAGTTGGCCATGAAGAATCGGCCAAATTGAATCGGCGTAGTGTGCGCACTTCCATACATGCCCATACTGATCAACTGCCCGACTAAACTATCGGCCGATAAAAAATCAACGGTGTGCGCCTACTCTTATAGTCCTCTTTTTCTACAACCTACAAAATGTATAAGGAAATGTCTTACAAAGTGTTTCAATTGATTGGTGGTGTGAATCTATTCAAATTCTTTATTCGTATGGTAACCCTTTTCAGGGAACATACTAACGCCCGTATTCACAAACGATGCTTGTGAGTGAAGCAGAAAATCGAATGCACAGGGTTGAATAGAGCTCTGTGATTGGTTCGTGTGTGACCCTGTGTGTTCTTGCGCACTGTGAGACCTCATAGTAATTTTTGTGAATACGGGCGAGTGTCTTAGGTACTTATTGTGGATTTTCAATAAGATAGTTGACACTACCAGTCAAGTGACATACTTTTATGCGCTGTCAAATGTGACATTTTCATGGATTTTGTATGGCTAAGGACCTTCGACGTTACTATTTTTTGAATTTATAAAGCTAATTAATTTAACAGTTTTTAGAAAACCAACTCTATTTCCAGGGCTATAATGATGAGATTTAAAAAAATCATAGAATTATGTTTAACGTTGTCAATTTTCATTACTTCTAGGTGGACGGTCTCCATCCCGACCATTTTGAAAACAGCACACACTTACCACGCGATATCGCGAGCGGATCGTCATCCTTAGAACGCGAGTTAGGCGTAGCGGCGGCGGAAAAGACCGACATCGCCGACTTGGCCGACGGTGACGGCGAAGCGCGAGCGTTGGACGCCGACACGCCGGAGGAATCGTCGGCGTATCTCGCAGAGGTGCTGGCTGAGGTCTTGGTGGCTGACGTGAGTTGAACTGTTGAGGCTTTGATTTTGGACTTTAAGACAAAGCAATAAGATTAATTATTGTCACAGTAGGCTAGTTTCCTAAAAAAAATTTTTTAGTCCGTCAATTTTAGTATAAAAAAATATTGGACACGCATATTTTTAATTGTCAATCAAACAAATAATTACAAAGTTATAGTGCGTTGAAGTTCCGCGCGACGTCACAAAGTGCTGCACTTTTACGCACTCACTGACGTCACGGGCCTTTTCTTTAGAACTTTGGCACGCTTTATCTCTTTACATTTTCATTAGTTTTAAAAAGTGAAAAATACGTGTTGAGTAGTTTTTGATAAGCTAACTGACGGACTAATAAAAACTCTTGCTTTTTAACCCAGGAAACATCCCTGTTGAATAGGCTTGAAATTGAGTTTGATTTTCGACTTTAAAACAAAGCAATAAGATACTACGTCTGTCACAAGATGAACTGCGTAAATGGATTTCGAACAGAATGATGATTTTGCCAATGGATTTTGAAATTTAAAGTCTTTTGAATAAGATTCAAAATTTAGGATTTCTTCTTCATGATAGATTGTTACAGTTGAATACCTAGGCTTGAAATTAAGTTTGATTTTCGACTTTAAAACAAAGCAATAAGATATTACGTCTGTCACAAGATGAACTACGTAAATGGATTTCTAACAAAATGATGATTTTGCCAATGGATTTTGAAGTTTAAAGTCTTTTGAATAAGATTTAAAATTTAGGATTTCTTCTTCATGGTAGATTGATAGATGGCACCTTATTGCCTTGGCTTAAGAGTAGACGCACACCGTTGATTTTTAGTTGGCCGATAGTTGCGCCCGATTCTAAATTGTATGAAGAATCGGCCAAATTGAATCGGCGTAGTGTGCGCACTCCCATACATGCCCATTCTGATCAACTGCCCGACTAAACTATCGGCCGACGAAAAATCAACGGTGTGCGCCTACTCTAAACGCTCAAAAGAATCGTCCACCCGTATAGCTTAAGAGCTTTGCTTCACATTTCACTTCATCTTCATCATCAGCTCACGTCAGTCTACTGCCTTCTATAATCTTTTATTCTGTACTAACCATTGCTATTTGCCTTTCTTATCGATCTCACTAATCTCCAGTTTTTGAATTGACATTTAGCTCCAACTAGAAATCTCAATCGGAAAACAGGCCTTAGTAGTAACCAAGACCTAATGAAAGAAGAAGTTTACAGTAAAATTGTGATAAATGTTTACAGAAATATTGATACAGAATGTCGTCAGTTTACTGTGCATACGTAGAATCATCATCACGTCATTTCATTGCTTGGCTAACAAATATGATAATTTTTAAAATCTTAAGGCTATTTTCCACCAAAGCCTAGACGAGGCGAATATAACACGTCTCAGTTTGCTCTCACCTCGATTCCGCTTTGGTGGAAAACGGCTAGACTACTCTCAAAAACGTTATCCGAAGTTTCGAATGTTTCCATCCCTCTCGCACCGAGGTAGATCCTAGCACGAGTGACAGTGACAGATCCGAAACTACGTAAATGGCGTTTTGGAATAGCCCTGCGGGTTTATTCACAAAATCTCACCATAAAACTTCTTCTCCAGACACCAAGAGAATCCGGAAGAACACGAAACATAAGCATCACATGGCGTTCTATATCAGAGTCAAGCAACCAATCGTCCACCGGCTTCGACATTGCCGACGCCCACAGACCTGAGGCCACGCCCCCAGACTCCCACGAAGCCTCCCCCATAGACAACCATAACTCTACAGATGGGGACGTGGTCAACCATAACGTGGTCAACCATAACGGAGTAAACGGCGTGAATGGGGTTAACGGGACAGTTAACGGGGTCAGTGAAGAGACGGCCAAGTTTTTGGAAGTGGAATTGAATGGTGAGTAAGGAGTGGGGTATTTTATGCAGTTGTGATTGATTCTGTTTTGTGTGACTGTCGATTGTACAGTCAAATAGTTCGTGACACCCGAAGAAGCCAAAAAGTTCGCAAAACGTCTTTGTTACAATTGAAATAAGGTTGTGTTGTCAACTTTTTGACCACTTTGGGTGTCACTATTTGACACTGACTGTACAGACGACACATCGAGGCAAACACTATATTCTTATGTGGTTATAATAGGTGCGATATTGTAACAAAATTGAAGGGGTAAGTAGACAAATGTGTTATCTGACAAAATGAGTTATGAGTGTTTGAAAATGTTAATCTGCTCATACCACATTTGAATCCTGAAATGTATGAATGCTTGTCAGATAACACCTTTGTTAAGGTTTGACACGTAACAAAATTGCGTGTTTTGAGCTCATTAGTCGATTTTATCATTACTTAAAACCCATATAGTCCAGTCAATAAAGCATTATAGATGGAAAACTGTAGAACACAATTTCTGACTTCAGGACTTTATTTAGACTAGTTAGGAGGTGAACATAGCAAAAGTCCCCGCCCTTAGTCCTTGAGCCGGCGGGGAGAGGGGGGTTTAAAGGTGCCACTTTTCGGTTTTTCGCTTAATCCTCGGAAACTATGCGTCCTAGTGACATGACTACTTTGAACCAAGAAAAGCATATTCAATTTGCTACAGATGAGATAGTCAAGTTTTTTTATAAATTGTATAGTTTTCGCGGCATCTGCTCTAGAAGGTCTGTAATATTGGAAATTTTATTTTTGTCCTACATGTTCCCATCAGGAGAAAATCGACTAAATCAACATTGAGCAATCATTCTAGACATGCGAGAGCATGTTAAGCATAGTTCCAGCGAGGGGACTACACCGTGCGTATATTTAGACGAATCACTTTGAGCCACTTTTGACTCCTCATCACTCAAAAACTACTGTGCATTAACACTTCAAATTTGGCTCATGTGTTGAGACTTGCAAGATATACATCAGTTTCAAATTTCATAAATATGAATTGGTTCGTCTAAATATACGCACGGTGCAGTCCCCTCCATGGAACTAGGCTTAACATGCTCCCGCATGTCTATAGTGTTTGCTCAATGTTGATTTAGTCGATTTTCTCCTAAAAGGAGCATGTAAGACGACAATAAAATTTCCAATTTTACAGACCTTCTAGAGCAGATGCCGCAAAAACTATACAAGATATAGAAAAACTTGACGGTCTCACCTGTGGCAAATTGAATAAGCTTTTTTTGGTTCCTAGTAGTCATGTCACTAGGACGCATAGTTTCCGAGGATTAAGCGAAAAACCGAAAAGTGGTACCTTTAAACCCCCCTCTCCCCGCCGGCTCAAGGGCTAAGGGCGGGGACTTTTGCTATGTTCACCTCCTAACTAGGCTAAATAAAGTCCCCAGGTCAGAAATTGTGTTCCACGGATTTCTCTCTACACCGTCGTTAAGGCATTCATTGACTGGACTAATATTCAATTGTTCATGCAAAAAAGTAGATTCTTCAGTTTTGTCAGATAACACCTTTGTCCACTTACCTCTTCAATTGTGTAGTCTGATGTGCTGTTGACTGTACTTTTGTACTTGCAGACTGAAATGCAACATTTGCCACATTTACCACATTAATTTACCACACGATACGGTCAGGCCCAAGTGATCATACATTAAGCGGACTGCTTACTGACCTGTAGCCTTATTCACGTAGCAAAACTTTTTGTTGCGATCCTATCGAGTAATCGTTCTATCGAATTGACCCTTGTGAATACGGATTTAGAATTGTTTTTTAATGGGACGACTTCTGAACGTCAGCGAGATCTTGACTGTCAAAATATGTGAATTAGGCCATTGACCGCATCCAGTGTACAAATAATAATAATTTTGTTACAAATTACAATACTTTTCAGCATGCAATTTTGTTGGGCAATCAATTTTAGATTTTTATTGTGTGATCCATTTTTAAATCTAATGTAAAGAACCTACCACAGTCGTAACAAGATAACTCTATTGTCACAGGAGGCGCTACATCAAGCAGCGTGTCCTCCGAAAGCGAAGGGGAGGCTGCGGCCACAACGAGGAGAACCGGCGGGAGGAGGCACGGCAGCCAGCTCACGCTGTGCCCAGCCTCCCCTCGGCGCGCCCCTTGCTGCCACAGCACCACCAGTAAGTGTTATAACATCCCCTCTCTTTATACTTAAGGCTCGGCGCAAATGGGCCACCGACCACAGCCACCGACGGCTGTCGCGCGCCACCGCCACATTTCTAAGAGTGTCAGAAGCGAGCGACAACCACCGGTGTCTGGAAGCCGCCACATTTTATACAGCGTGTATCTGACGGCGTGTAAAAAAAGGGAACTCAGTTAACGATTCTGATTTCGAATCAATAAAAAAAAGTACTTATTTTTTTACCAAATAATCCTCACCTTTCTTGACTCATAGTAACCGCGTTGTCATAGTAAACGCGGCTTTACCCGAATCCACAACGCGCGTGCTCGCCGTCTTTCGGCGCGCTTCAAACAAACACCGCCACGTCGCCGGCGCGGCTCGTTTGAGAAGCCGCCGTCCATTGTGCTCTGCGCGCCGCGCGCCGTGCTTGGCTGTTTTGCACATATGAATTTATTAAAAAATTTTTTTTTTGTAATCTAGACTTCTAGCCAGAACTTCAGTTAATATTTTTTACACGTCGTCATATACACGCTGTATATTGCTGTCGCGACTGTGCGACATAATTACGCGCGAGCAATAATGATGGGTAGATTGGGGTCATTGGACAAAATTCTACGTGCTCACAGACCAGACTATACCTTTATGATGTCATCCCCTCGCTCTTTATAAACCTCTGCAGAAAATAAATTAGTAGTTTAACAAATTAAAAATACGCCCGTGCTCGAAAAGACAAATCTAATGCACCCAAACTCGATTTGGTTCCCCGTTTCGTTTAGGAGTTCCTATGGCCACCTTCCAGTCCCATCGTCAGACCAGCGCGATGGTACCATAATATTGTACTGTCATCTAACCTACATATAATTTCCAAGTTTCTACAAGACTTAGAAGTGCGTTAAATTCAGATTCTAAGATTCTATTACATAGTTAGTTACATACACGACGACCTAATAAAAGCGTGACTGATGACTTTTAAACTTCAGCCAAACCAACGCGTTCAGCCTGCGTTCGTGATAGCGTGCAGTGACGATCACAGCGCGTGCAAAAGTTGTTTACACTGCCGCATTCGCGATCCAAACGTTACCGTGAAAAAATTCCGCCATTTTGAAATCAGACTCGTCAAAATAACAAGCACGATCTGAGGGCTTAGGCCGAGTTTCACCACCTAACTTTGACCGTAATTATAACGATAACCGGTGTTTTTTGTATGAAGTTTAATAGATTTTTGCCGTTTGTCAAAGTTAAAGATGGTGCAACCTAGACTTAATGTGAGTTTACATAAAACGTCGTCACTAGCGATCGCGTTAAAGAAATATACGAAGATTTTAGTTCTTAAAAATTCCGCTAGGGGCGCTGTACAATCCTTTATACATTGAATGTCGACATCGAATGCATTTGACGTAAATTCACACTACGTCCCCTGATCGCTACCGTGCACGCTGTCGCGTATGCAGACTGAACGCGTTGGTTTTTCTTAAAGATACTACTTACTATTTTATGGCACATATTATCTTTGCTTCTCAACAAACCATTATTCTTTCTTCCAGGCGGTATAGAAACATCAGGGGAATCAGCGACCGCCGACGACGTGTCGTCCTGCTGGTGCGGCCTGGACGCGGAGACCGGCGGCGCGCGTTGTGTTTGTGGGGCCCCGGCCGGCGGCGCGGGGGCCCCGGTGCCTGACCCCCTGGACGGACTGCCCCCCAACGCTGACCCCTTGCAGGATAGGCTGCACCAGATCATAGTGTACCAAAAGGTGAGTCAGGATGTGAAAAGCCTCAAGTATTATTTACCTATATAGGCTGGTGGGGGGTTCAGGGGGTTCTGGTCCCTGACCCCGTGGATGGACTACCCCCTAACGCTGACCCCTTGCAAGATAGGCTGCACCAGATCATAGTGTACCAAAAGGTGAGTCAGATTGAGTAAGACTTATTCCAGGTCACTATTTCAGCTAACGCCCGGTCGCCGAGCACGTAGAATCTCGTCCAATGACCCCAAGCTACCTATCCTTATCGCTCGCGCGTAATTATGTTGCTGTCGCGCTCGCACACTAAGTGCGGCCGCCCGTCGCACAGTCGCGACAGCAATATAATTACGCGCGAGCGATAAGGATGGGTAGCTTGGGGTCATTGGACGAAATTCTATCTGCTCGGTGACCGGACTATAGAGGATGTCAACTGCTAGACCCATCAGTTCAACGAGTTATGTGCCCCGCCCGCTGCCACTTAAGCACCGGTCATATTTCACCAATAAAAGGTGAGGAGCTTAGTAATGCGCAAAGGAGATAGGACCTTGAGTACTTACTAGACGTGACGTCGTCCTGCTGGTGCGGCCTGGACGCAGAGACCGGCGGCGCGCGTTGTGTGTGTGGGGCCCCGGCGGGCAGCGCGGGGGCCCCGGTGCCCGACCCCTTGGACGGACTGCCCCCCAACGCTGACCCCTTGCAGGATAGGCTGCACCAGATCATAGTGTACCAAAAGGTGAGTCAGATTGAGAAAGAGAATGAATTACTTATTCCAGATCATTATTTCAGCTAAATCCCGGTCGCCGAGCACGTAGAATTTCGTCCAATGACCCCAAGCTACCCATCCTTATCGCTCGCGCGTAATTATGTTGCTGTCGCGCTCGCACACTAACTGCGGCCGCCCGTCGCACAGTCGCGACAGCAATATAATTACGCGCGAGCGATAAGGATGGGTAGCTTGAGGTCTTTGGACGAAATTCTATCAGCTAGACCCATCAGTTCAGTGAGTTATATGCCCCGCCCGCTGCCACTTAAGCACCGGTCATATTTCACCAATAAAAGGTGAGGAGCTTAGTAATACGCAAAGGGGATAGGACCTTCAGTACTTACTAGACGATGTGACGTCATCATGCTGGTGCGGCCTGGACGCAGAGACCGGCGGCGCGCGTTGTGTGTGTGGGGCCCCGGCGGGCGGCGCGGGGGCCCCGGTGCCTGACCCCTTGGACGGACTGCCCCCCAACGCTGACCCCTTGCAGGATAGGCTGCACCAGATCATAGTGTACCAAAAGGTAAGTTAGGATGTGAAAGAGCCTCAAGTATTATTTACCCATATAGGCTGGTGGGGGGTTCAGGGGGTTCTGGTCCCTGACCCCTTGGACGGACTGCCCCCCAACGCTGACCCCTTGCAGGATAGGCTGCATCAGATCATAGTGTACCAAAAGGTGAGTTAGATTGAGTAAGACTTATTCCAGGTCATTATTTCAGCTAAAGCTCGGTCGCCGAGCACGTACAATTTCGTCCAATGACCCCAAGCTACCCATCCTTATCGCTCGCGCGTAATTATGTTGCTGTCGCGCTCGCACACTAACTGCGGCCGCCCGTCGCACAGTCGTACAAGCGATAAGGATGGATAGCTTAGGGTCATTGGACGAAATTCTATCTGCTCGGCGACCGGACCATAGACGATGTCAACTGCTAGATGGACTGCCCCCCAACGCTGACCCCTTGCAGGATAGGCTGCACCAGATCATAGTGTACCAAAAGGTGAGTTAGGATGGGAAAGAGCTTCGGATTTCCAGTGGGTAGTTGACGTAAATGACCAGTAATGCCAAGACACAATATCTTTGAAAAAAACTTACATAATTAGCCTTGTAACATGAGTTAATTTTTACACACACACTTAGCTTTAATATTTGAATTTTAGTAGGTTTCAAATCAATTGACTCAATCAATTAATTGTGTTCGCTACTAGATGACTTCAAGTTTCTTTTATAAATTTAGTAGAAACGTCGCGTTTTGACAGCTATGTATGTATGTCTATTGACTAGACTGCTAGCTAGAGTGTCCACCCACTGCTCTATTTGACACACATCTTTCTAAATCGTTCGGCTTTTATAACTCAATTTTCGTCTTATTATTTATTTATTTATTTAAAGACTTTATTGTACACACATAAGAAAGAATGTTCCGTACAAAAAGGCGAGCTTAATGCCACAAGTTATTCTCTACTAGCTGACCTTGAGCAAAATAGAGATATTGAGTAGGCGGTGCTAAAAAGCTACAAAAATTTACACTAATCTTCTATTATCCCAACTAATATTATAAATGCGAAAGTAACTCTGTCTGTCTGTCTGTCTGTTACGCTTTCCCGCTTACACCTCGCAACCGATTTTGATGAAATTTGGCATAGAGATAGTTTGAGTCCCGGGAAAGAACATAGGATAGTTTTTATCCCGGTTTTTGAAACAGGGACGCGCGCGATAAAGTTTTTCTGTGACAGACAAAATTCCACGCGGGCGAAGCCGCGGGCGGAAAGCTAGTTATTCTAATAAGTTATTCTTATTCGTCCACAGAAAGTAGTATCGGAGTTGACCGGCCAGCTTCGGCAGGCGCGCGAGCTGCTCCGCCGACACACCTCGCCCGGCGCCGCGCCGCCGCCGCCGGAGCCTGCCCAGGTGAGCTGACGTCATCATCATCATCATCCACTGCTTCTACTTCATCTCCATTATCATCATCATCTATTGCTTCTAATTCATCTCCATTATCATCATCATCCACTGCTTCCTCTTCATCTCCATTATCATCATCATCCGCTGCTTCTTCTTTATCTCCATTATCATCATCATCCGCTGCTTCTTCTTCATCTCCATTATCATCATCATCCACTGATTCTTCTTCGTCTCCATTATCATCATCATCCACTGCTTCTTCTTCATCTCCATTATCATCATCATCCGCTGCTTCTTCTTCATCTCCATTATCATCATCATCCACTGCTTCTTCTTCATCTCCATTATCATCATCATCCGCTGCTTCTTCTTCATCTCCATTATCATCATCATCCGCTGCTTCTTCTTCATCTCCATTATCATCATCATCCGCTGCTTCTTCTTCATCTCCATTATCATCATCATCCGCTGCTTCTTCTTCATCTCCATTATCATCATCATCTACTGATTCTTCTTCATCTCCATTATCATCATCATCCACTGCTCCTTCATCTCCATTATTATCATCATCTACTGCTTCTTCTTCATCATTATCATATTCTTCCCTTTTTTTTATCATCAGTGATCGGATAATCGGATGCATTCACCTTAAGTTAATTTTTGGCTAGGTAATGAGGGTTTTCGCGATTGCAAAATCCGCCAGATGGCAATACTTAGACGCGAGGTCCAAATGCTGCATGATTGGTGGATTTTGACATATCTGTCAATGTCATGTCAAAAATAACCAATCATGCAGCATTTGGACCTCACGTCTACGTATTGCCATCTGGCGGATTTTTCAATCGCGAAAACCCTCATAGAGGCTTCTTAAAATATATTTTTTTAAATGTGTGAGTAAATATACCTACACCCGATTCTAGACTAAAAAGAATTAAATTTGTCGATTCCGAAGGTTTTTTCGGTACAAAAATGCATTCCATAATAGCCAACACCTCGACTTTATGTAAACGTGCATCCGATTATCCGATCACTGATCATTATTGACGGCTTGTTTTACTTCATTTAATTATCGCCTTCATCATCTGCGATATCTTTATTTACTTATTTTATCGTCGTTGTCATTATTACTTATTTTGTCGTCGTAGAAACCTCCAATGATTTCTAGAACAAAAATAACATTCATTCATTTGAGTGGACCAGACACTGCTATTAATAATGACATCAATATTACTGTCATTCCTTCTTACGGTAATGACATTCTTAATCTCTCTACATACAAATAACTGCCAGTGTTGGTCCGCTATAAACTTAGTGTGAATTGGCTGTAGAAGACTGTCGACTTACCACAAAACACGAATTTTCTATAGTTCATTTTGGACCTTATGTGAAATGTAATAATGTAAATAACTAATGGAAATTTGACATTTTGTAGTAAGTTGACCTGTAGGCCTAAGATGCGCCCCGTGATAACTTTTATCGACGTCAAAATGTATGGGCAAAATCGATAAAATGGCGTGATAACCGCTTATCGCGGAACGCATCTTAGGCCTTCTGTTGTAGATATAAATATCGCACAAAAGTACATAATGATTGTAAAAATGATGTTCGTTTACAATGAAGTATGAACTTAAACGAGCATCATTTTTACGAATATGCATGCTAAGATTCATTTTGCCTTTATCTCATCGCCTCACTGTGCTTGTAATAACTGCTTTACTTATCATTTCTTTTTGTTTCTTCCCATGGCTTCAATAGGCTAATTGACTCTTATTCTAATTATACTAAGGTCTGGAATAGTTTTATATTATTTTACTTTCGCTTTTTTTGCTTTCGCTGTTTAAAATGGGTGCTGTCTGCCATGATGTGTGCGGAGCTTCTGATTACTAGAAGAGTCTTAAATTAAATGTCCTCACCAAAAAATTGCATTTTTGTTACTATCACACTAATAGTCTATTTGCAAACTATACAGCTTGTACTAAAGGGTCAAGTGTATTGTGAGGTCAATATTTTCTCATCGTGAGGTACTTGACTTTGACTGTCTAATATTTCACATACATACATAGGTCAAGCACGTAAAATACGTCGGACTTATGTTTAAATAAGCACAACTTGCAAAGTTTCAAGACAACTGCTTCAGAACAGTATCCATTCACATCATGGCGACTACCTCTTTCACTTCCACGCTTCAATCACGCACTTATCAATAACCAATCACTTCGTTTGCACATAGTAATTAAACCTACGCGTGTAAACTATCATAGTTAAATAAGTTCAACCAACATTCGCTTTTTAAACCGCGTGTAATAGTTGAATAAGTTGAAAGTCCGCGCGTCAAGTAGCCTATTGTGCCAGCAGCGTGGGCGCAGCCACTCGGACTCGGCGTCGAGTGCGAGTGCGAGCGGCAGCGGCAGCGGCAGCGCCTCTGAAGTGGAGGTGGGCGAGGAGGCTCGCGGTGTGGTGTGGCTGCCCGACAGCGCTGCGCCGCGCTGCCAGCACTGCCGCAACCACTTCTGGCTGGCGCGCCGCCGCCACCACTGCAGGTGAGATTATATTTAAGTTAAAGCCTGGTCCGTGAACACGTAGAATTTTGTCCAATGACCTCAAGCTACCCATCCTTATCGCTCGCGCGTAATTATGTTGCTGTCGCACTCGCACACTCACTGCGGCCGCCAGTCGCACAGTCGCGACAGCAATATAATTACGCGCGAGCGATAAGGATGGGTAGCTTGGGGTCATTGGACAAAATTCTACGTGTTCACGGACCAAGCTTTAAATAATTAAATATGCTTGTTACGTAGGTTCACCACAACAACGGTTCAAACTCGCGTTCTTCAGATCTTGTTTTGGCCTGTGCGACACCGAAATCATTGGGCTCTGGTCGTTTGCCAAAGCGATTGGAAAGCCAAACGGGACACGGCTCCTTTATCCTGGCTAAAAAATAAATTGTAATATCTTTAATAGGATTGAAATTAATAAATAGTTGTTTAATTGAGTAAGCGTAGTAAGTCATGATTTTTTTATGCAGAACACAAACTTTGTTGTACCTCGGATTGGTCACTAAGGGCTGATGTTTCAGTCGTCGGAGAACTTGTAAGTGAAGAATAAGTTAGAACATTGATAGTTTCAGAATGGAAAATATGTCAAAATGACATGTTTATTCTTCAGTTATATTGAAAATCTGACGATTGAAAATCGGCCCTTACATAATGAATGATTTGTTTGTACTTATCTCGGATGTACAGACGACGGCACGTCAACGTAACCACTGTGGTTCTTGTGCAGTTGTAATATTGGCGAGTTTGCAACAGAAATGGGTAACCTGATGTGCTGTCGTGTGTACATTTTATTTTTCTTTACTAAGTATAAATTTTATCACTTTCAGACGCTGCGGCGGCATATTCTGCGGTTCATGTTCCGAGATGAGTTCGTGGGGCGACTGCGGCTCGGTCCGCGTGTGCCGCCGCTGCCGCACGGAGCGGTGACGCGCGGGCCCCCCCGTGCCCCCCGCCCCCCTGCGCGCGGTGTGACGTGAGTTCCCATACGCCCGGCCCGATTCAGTTTGATGGTCTATATAGACGACATTGTGGTAGAAGCGAAGGAACTTGCAGAACATATGGCCGATTCAGTGATGCATAGGCACTTGCAAACCATAAGGCCGATTCAGTTTGTTGCTCTACATAGACTATAAAAGGCACTCTCAAACCATAAGGCCAATTCAGTTTGTTGGTCTACATGGATGATATTGCAATAGATTCGAAGGCCCTCGAAAGACAAGGGTTGATTCCACTTGTGCTTTTGTGTGCGGATACCTACTCGGTCCGATGTGGATTGCTAGTGCGGATAATGTTGAGAAAACAGTAATACAGATGTAATATGACTTTGCGTATTTGTTAATCTTGTATACCTGATATTGTTGATGTTATACCTCATAATTATTATGTTGTTTGGAATTAAACTTGTTAAGAGTTTAGAATTGAACAATAATTCGAGATAATAACATATTCATTTCGAATGACAATAAGCATTATTTCACTAACATGATGTCACACTTATTGTATAGAAGATTAACCAATACGCTAACCCAACCTCCAAATATTTTTCCACCAAAAGGCTGGACTAAACGAACCCACGTCACACCCACGGCGATAACTGATTAGACCGTAAATTGTTAGAGACAGCGAGCCGTAAACAACGCCTATACAGCCTAAGGAAGACTTATATCTGTACTGATTCAAACCCCACTCGCGTACGTCACTTGAAGTTAAGGGTGGGTTAAATAAAATTTTGTATTAGGTATGTAATTGACAGTTTAATGTCAAATGACGTCTGCGAGTGTTGTTAATCTTATGAACTGTCAAATTATGGAATAAAGTTCTTTCTTACGCGTTTTCCAGTAGTGGCGTGTTTTGCCTCGCCCATCGGCTGCCTTCATTATGAGATTTAACTATACTCTGCATTGTTATCAATGTTTGTCTTTTTGACGTTCAACAGTTTATTAATAATATTTTATTTTATCAAGTGCTACTAATGCAGCTCTACCAACTAAGAGCATTCCTCCAGTGTACAATACCTTTATTAATACTTATAAGCTATTGAATGTACAAAAAGACAACAATATCGACATTGGTTATGATACCGCGCTAGTGTATATACCGGATACTAGTCAACGCTTTGATGAACTAACATGGAACTGTTTTGTAACTGAATCGACTAAATATGCCAATCGAGAAACAACACTTGTATAGTCATCATTGTCTTTCTTAAGTGATTGACAGAGACGGATATACAATCGTATTATTCCTTATTGGCAGTAAAATGTTTATTTCTAATAACCGAGTATTTATTGAACACGTATTGAATAAAATGTGGGCAAAGAAACTGGTGTAGGCGGATCCTAGATAGCTATAAAGAATGATCGTTATGATGAAGGCTGATTTTCTACGCTAATGTTCGATTATTTAAAACTAATTTGACGTCTTTTAATTTTTTTTAACGGTCACTAACGCTGGCGACTGTAGACTCGAAGGTTTTTCTGAAATATTTCCAGGAAAAATTTTCCAATCGTCATAAAGTTAGGAAAATCGTATACGCCTGAATGAACAACTCATTTTCATAGACAATGCATTTGATTGTTGATTATGTCGATTGAAAAATTTGTTATAATTTTAATAGTAAATAGTTCAGAAATATCAACATTCTATATTAGAATGTAATGTTTACCGCCGACCACGCTCGTTCCATGAAAAGGTTTCAAACGCGAACCTCTGAATGACAAGACAACTTTGTATAAAACGCTGTTTTTTGTTTATTTTATTTTGTATTATAGTGTTTCATTTGTTCTATAATTATTTTTGTACAGTAACGTTTTGTTTCACACTGTCAGACGGCTCACGTTGGCTGGCGGAAAGAGACAGGTTGTATATGGATCGTCAACGCGTGCGAGGGAGATAGTTGTAACGTCAGTTGACTTGGGGCTCGGGACTTACTCGTACAAACAGCAACGAATGTGTTAACTTTGTGAGCCTTATTTTTATTGTGAATAAGGTTGATTATGTTGAGCAATGTCGTGCTTACGATGTGGTTTGTATAAAATACGGCCATATGTTATGTTACTCAGTGATTTTGAAAGGGATGTCCGGTTTTCGGTCAATATTTTGGGGCTATTTTAGAATCTATGAGTCTCTTATTTATTAAGCTTTCAGTATAAACGGTTTTTAATTCTGATCAATTCTTTTGCTGGCTACAAAATTTGTGTTCATTACAAAATATTGACCCAAAGTTAGCATCTCGTTCCACGTTATTCAATATACCACTCACTAAACATATATCATACATATATCCCATACAACGGGCACCGAGCTCTGTATTTTATTTGTGATATTGATGATAATTTTGTATGATAGTTAAGAGTTTAATAACATGTTGTTAGACGTTAAATTTTACAGGTGATTATTTTAATATGCCCTTGCGGTGCGTTGATTGAGTTGTTGGCTTATACCATAATTGGCGCAGTTTGTTTTCATCGGTTTTGGACTTTATGACAAGGGAATAAAGTTCAAAATGCGGTGACAATGAGGTATATAGCTTCAAAATGGGTTGAGAGCCGCGGTCTGTAGGTATGTAATGTTACATACATATAAAATTCCTTTTCTAATTGTTATGACGAATATTTGTAATAATTGTAACTACTTATTTGGAGACACATCCATATAATTATACGTCATGCTATTCAATCTATCATAAGTTGATGAATTTCTCCAGTGGATAGACTTATACCTTTTATTAAAGTTAAAATTGTTTGAAATAAATTAAATGTGACATTTGAAATTTTATGATAGGTTGATGTGCTGACGGTTTTCACTTTAATTGTGCTTTTCTTTTATGTGTATTGTTTGTAAAATAAATTATATTTTACAACCAAACCTATCCAGTAAATGTTGTGATTTCGTAACTCGATAATTAATCCAAAATTAATTAATAAAATGTAATGTTAATTGATTGACTTATTATTTACGTTGAATGATATTCTGATAATATGACTGTGTTCTAATAATATTGTAAAACAATTTATCGAAAGAATATGTTCTTTTGTAATATAAGTATGCAATATACTTGATGCTGCTATTGAATAAATAAACTAAACATTGTAACTAATAATACAATGATTATTATTGAGTCTAATTTAAAAATTATTATTCAAGACCGCGGCCAATGCCTAGAAGCGAATAAATTTTGAATTGTAGAAAAACGTTTGTGTAATCCAGTTTTTAATTCTAGACAGTAAAGTGACGTTTTTACTGTAAACGGTACAGATATTATAGAACTATTTATAATGGATAACATTTTTGCCGATTAGAAAAATAGAATGCCTTTTTTTAACATTATTCATACTGAATCATAGTTAATTTTAAATTTCACTGTATATTTTTAATTTTGAAATTATTTTTGTCGTCTCTCCTAGGCGATACTACGGCGACGGAGTCTATTTTTTATTGTTTTACTTTTTATTTCTTCGCCTAAATTTTGCATTTGCATTTTTCCGATGGTAAGAAAGTTTATACTTTACCGACTCGAATTAAATACTGGATTATCCATTTGGTACTTACCGTAAGTTTGTATGTTCGCATTTATATAAAATATCTATTCACTCGACAACTGTTTTCAAACTTATAGCTTGTGTTAAAATACTCAGTGACATATTTAAAGTTTTGCCTATGGTTTCAGATCCTAGTTTCAAATTATTTTCGAATTTACAGTTTCAAGAAAACAAACTTGCGGTAAATACCAAAATGGCATGCTTCTTGTATAAAATGATTTCGTAATTTATTAGCGAACTGAGGGGTTGTTGTTAAATGCATATATTTTATATTGTAAAGCGGGCGGAGTCACGGTATGTTCCATGTCGATGTGCAAACTTGTTTGTGACCAATGAATATTGACACGATGTGAAATAAAGCATATTTAGTTTTATGAATTTACTCTTTTATTTTACTCTTACAACAAGAGTTGCGGCGGCGATAACACAAGCTAAGATACGTACCTAATGTTGAACTATAGTTCCAAAATACTGGACTGTCCTGTCGATGACATTGACAGTGGGGCGCCACCGTCAATACCGGATCGCTGGTTCAGATTTTTGCCATGTTGGAAACCATATAGTTGAACGATGGTAGCGCCCCCCTGTCATTGAGTTTGGCGGGACAGTTCAGCGTGGGTCATCTATAAGTATTTTGAAACGTCAAATGGCAAAGATCGGAAATATAGATGACCCACGCTGAACTGTCCCACCAAACTCAATGACAGGGGGCGCTACTATCGTTCAACTATATGGTTTCCAACATGNTAAGTATTTTGAAACGTCAAATGGCAAAGATCGGAAATATAGATGACCCACGCTGAACTGTCCCACCAAACTCAATGACAGGGGGCGCTACTATCGTTCAACTATATGGTTTCCAACATGGCAAAAATAGGAACCAGCGATCCGGTATTGACGGTGGCGCCCCACTGTCAATGTCATGGATAGGACAGTTCAGTATTTTGGAACTATATAACCCGGTATTGGTTGCAGCGCCCCCCTGCAAATGACGTTTCAGTGTCTTCCGACGTGGCAAAAATGGGAACCAACAATCCAGTACTGACAGATGACCCATATCTGGAGATATAATTAGTTCAAGGAAATATCGACACAAAAATGCAGCTAAAATTTCAAATAAAAAGCATCAACTTTAGTAAAACACCTTTTATTTTCAGCATGTATCTCTTATTTATACTTAAGAACTAATTAACAGTAAACAATTAAGTAAATAATCTATTGACAATAAATAAGTAAGTAGCCAGTGATACACAGGGTGAAGAATAGAGTACAAATAACAGAATTTCGTACCAAAAATTAGTCATAGATCGAAGATGCACAAATTAGTTGGTAGATAATAAAGTGACACAACAGTGAACAAGGATCTATTTGCCCTTAGTTTAAGAGCCTTATTTGCTCGACTTTTTTATTATAGTTGACGTACACGCCTATGAAGTTAGACATTGATTTATTTTCGATTTTAGTAAGAATGGGAATAGGTTTGACAAATCTTGGCACGGCAATCACCCTGTATATTTATCCAATTTCGTGTAGCAAGCACACTACAGGTGAGTCCTAATACATTATTACTAACATTTGATTAGGCCTAGTACTAGGAATTCATAACTAAATCCTATAATATTTTGGGAATTATTTTCACATTATTTTAATGTCTATGGGACATCCCATAAAAAATAATATAATTATGTTGAAGTATGTATAGAGAGCATAACACCTTCGCTGCCAGCCTAAAAATGGCACTGTTCCGTTCGGGCCATGGGGGACAATGATGGGCGACACTTTAACTTTCCGTTCGGGCCGCGTCGGACAATGATGACCGCGAGTCAGACCTATGTTTAAACCTCTGTATTGAGCCGATGGACAGCATTTCTTCAATAATTCTCATATAAGCTGACCCGCGCGGCTCCCAAGATTAGTGTACGTCACTTGGTTCTCAGGTAAAGCTCGGACTTAGAAAAAAAAATGTGGATAACGGTAGCGCAATGAAACATGGTAATTATACAATGCATTTTTGCAAAATTATCAACTTTTTAGCAAGATAATAACGGTTTATTAATTAAAACATATCGTTTACTTATTTTATATAATGTATAATATGCAGGACAATAAAAAAAATCACTTTCATTGTTGAACAACCACTTTGTATGAAGGGTTGGTACAGGTACTAAGTTCTTTGTACAGCTACAAAACTTATGCCATTTAAAACCTTATTAGTGGCATAAATTATTGTACTTATTAGATGCTTACACCTAGCAGGATTGTCGAGAAAAATAGATTTGTTTAATGTATGAAAAAAACATTTTTTCTCTTATCAATACCTACTCTATTCTAGAACTTTTTTTATTATTCATTCAAATTATTGGCATGTTAAATCAGCTATGTCATTATAATTATTTTTAATTTTAAGTATATTTTTAAATATTATTTGTAGATATACTGACAATTAAATATTGTTTTGAAAAAAGAACCGATCGAAAGTGACACTACAGTGATGGATGAAAAATTCAAAATACAGTCAAACAATTTCTAAAACGTCAAGTCGCAAAAATTGGATTAATAACCCAGTTGTTAGTAGCACCTTCCTGTAAATTTCATAATTATATGGCTGTCCAACGAGGCAAAAATGGGAACTAATAGTTCAGTATTGATAGTAGCGCCTTCCTGACAATGCCATAGCTGGGACGGCTCAGTTTTGGACAACTTTTATACGAATTATTGATAAATTCAATTTTTTAAATAAAATTTAAACCTTTTTTAATTAAAACAATTTGAAAAAAATCACTTTTAGCGTTCCTTTTACGGTATCATCGATTTATTTATTATTATTTTTAATCACTATTTAAGACTTATCCTGCTAGTTTCGTTTCTCATTTTATACCTTATAATATTCCTATTTATGCGTAATATAATATATCAAAAACCTACCAATGTACAACTCTTTATTTTTTTGGTTGTTCTCCTTTTTTTTTTGGATGCGAGCGGGGATGGTCGACAACATGACCGCGCGGCCCTACGGAACGGATTTTCGAATTTTCGCTCGCTGGGGCCATGGGGGTCAATGATGTCCGACGCTTAATAATTCGATGTAGAGACTCAAAAACAACTATATGTTAATAAAATCCTTTATTTATGTTTATAATGTAACGATTTAACAAAAAAAAACAATCGACGAAAATTGAAAAAAATTGAAATTTTTACTTGGCCTGGTAGGAAAGTGCAGTGTCGGACAACATTGACCGCGTTGGCGTTCAATGTGATAAACAGCTATAAAATAACAAAGTACAATTTAAATTTTCTTATCAAACAATTTATTGTATAACAAATTAGGAAGACTATGAAAACAATAATAATAACAAATAAAAGTAACAACACAATATTATTATTAGAATACGGATATTAAAAATAATATAGATCATTGTAAAATATGCAACATTATAATAAAAACAATAATTTCAACAAAATTGTGGAAAAAATGTGATGCAATATAAAACATGTAAAAAAATACTACTCCTACAAACTAATCATCGTTTTGTTTATTTTTTATGTAATAATAAATAAATCCACTAGGTGGACCGACGATCTGGTGAAGGTCGCGGGAAGTACCTGGATGCAAGCGGCGCAGGACCGGTCTTTGTGGAAATCCTTGGGGGAGGCCTTTGTCCAGCAGTGGAAGTCTTTCGGCTGAAACGAACGAACGAACGAAATAAATATCTTGGACATTTTATACTGTGCCTTAGTCCTTATTTAGCTTGTTTAGTTCGATATGTTTCTCTCGCAAAACAAGGTAAACAAAATGCAATTATTTACTTTCTAAATATTTATCTCACTACCTTACTTAAGTTCTAATGTTAGTGACAGACCCCAGCCCATAGACTACATAGAGATTGCCGAATTTCAAGGTGGTTGACTAAGGCCCAGAACAGACGGTGAAACGCAACTGTAATGAAACTGGAACTGCTAGTTACTTTTGAGTTGAAACCAGTTGAAACTTTCAAACTGGTCGCGTCATGTGTGGTCTCTCAACGGACGCTATGGCAGAAACTTAAATGCAACTCAAAAGTAACTAGCAGTTGCAGTTTCGTTGCAGTTGCGTTTCACCGTCTGTTCTGGGCGTAACGCTCGTACTATTCACAAACATTACTATGTGGTCACACAGTGCGCGTGTACGCACAGGGTGACACACGAACCAATCACAGAGCTCTATTCAACGCTGTGTTCGATTTGCTGGTTCAACTAAGCAAGCATCGTTTGTGAATATGGGCGTAATAGTTTTCTTCAACAAAGGTTTTGCTACAACATAATATCTAATAATTAAAAGTTTCGCTTTTTTGGAAAGACTAGATTCATAATTGCGGGTCTACTTACTCGCTAACGCAGAATTCGTATTTTTTAATATAACTATCCCTTTTACTCATGGCAAGTAATAGCGACAGATGCACTCGAGAATATACAAACTGCGTTAATTAATATTCTCGTTGATAAACTATGTAATTCTTACTTAATATTTGTGCAAATTTTATACTGAACAGCTGCTAATCAAGTGCTCACTACAGTAAGTACAGTCAGCGTCAAATAGTTCGCAACACATCTATCTATGTTACAATAGGGATGTTTCCTGGGTAAAAAAAAAGCAAGAGTTTGAATTATCCGTCGGTTAACTTATCAAAAAATACTCGACACGTATTTTTCATTTTTTTAATTAATGAAAATTTAAAGAGATAAAGCGCGCCAAAATTCAAAAGAAGAGGCCCGTGACGTCAAGGCGTGCTTAAAATGTATAATTAATGTGCTATTTAACACGGACTGTTTAACTAACACATTTGTGCTTGATCAACCGACTGCAGATATTAGGCCCTTTGAACTGTGGTTACATTTCGTTGATTGCGTTCATATTAAAATACTTTTTGAGCGTAAATTGATAGGCTAGCCTTCATATTCTTACACTCTTATTTTAAACATAGTATGTTTTTTATAGTGAGTAATAAATTACTAATAATTCCCGTTAGTCCCCGGGACTATTCAACCTTCAATGCTTGGGTTTCCTTAAAGACAAAAACTGTAGATCCTGGTTTTATACAGGAGTTGCAATAGTGGGAATGATAGGTAGGATTAGTGTCATAATCCCATAAACAAGGTAAATTATGCTTTTTTAAATGGATTCCTCACAAAAGTCGTCAAGAATTAAACTACTGAAGTATCAATCCGATACTTAAATCATTAGGTGATAATCGCCTCACTTTATAAAAGCATAGTTTTTACTATTGAATTGTAAATTAGGAATGACAAATATAACTAAAATATTAATTACAGAGGTAGTTAGACTAGAAAGTATACTTTTATCTATTAAAATAGTTTTTTTGCTAATTTATCTGATACACAGCTAGCGTGCGAGCGTTGCGACTAAAATAAAAAATACAGCTGTATGTCAGGGTCCTTAGTAAACATTTGGTTTATTTTATAAGCTAAGATTTTGTACATTCAGCATCCATTATATTCTTTACTGAAAAGATATTTCATTATAAACATATTTTGATGTTGATTATACCAAATTATTTCACAAACTTACATTCTTCGTACTTTTTTGGATCTCTTTGCTATAGAAACACATACTACAGTACATTTCCTTACACTATTTGGTAAATAACTAAGAAGCAATTATTTGGGATATTTCTTTGTGTTTGTAATATTTAACTACTTAAAACAGAGCAACACTTTCTAACAGGTGTGAAATATTAAACAAAGTTATTAATTTATTGTTAGGCTCAACACATATTAAAACTAATTTAAATTTTAACTTGTCTCGTAGTAAATTTTCCCTTAAGAAACATCTGCAAGACATTTTTTTTAAATATATCTATCTATCTTTCTTATTCATAGTGAGATGCTGGCATAAACGACAGAGATAGACAATACAAAAATGATAGGAATGATACTACTAACTAACAACAGAATATTGCTAGTAAATGGATGGAAAATTCAAGCCATGTGAACTTGCCTAGTTTACACTTATTTGTTCTTAGGCGTGATGATTTCGTATTTATTATGCACTACTAAAGTCCGGTCGCCGAGCAGATAGAATTTCGTCTAATGACCTCAAGCTACCCATCCTTATCGCGCGCGCATAATGATATTGGTGTCGCGCTCGCACAGTCACTGCGGCCGCCCGTCGCACGAGCGATAAGGATGGGTAGCTTGGGGTCATTGAACGAAATTCTATTTGCTCGGCGACCGGACTTTATAAACAAATGTCACTAAAGCTTCATTCACACTTACTACGATAGTCACGCCTCGTAATATAAATGTGAACATAGCATACTTTTTTTTAAAGAAGGGGGTAATCATATGTTTTAGATCACAACCCCGTTTCAGTTGTACTATTATAATGTTTATTTATTTGCCTTAGGCCGATTATGCTAGGAATTATTAAGGTAAGTTCTTATGTTTAGGATTAAGTTTTTGGTTTCTTTAACCATTCAATTTTTGTATGTATGGTGTTTGATGTGTACAAATGAGATCACAATTTATGTTTTATCTCATTTTTTCTTACACTATTTATTATTACTAATTCGGCCTTTATTCAGTTATTGCTAAATTCATATTATTTTTGAAAACCGTAAAATAATGTAATAATATTTAATAATGATTTTGTTGCATATAATAATTAATAATGATTTTGTTGCTAAGAATTTCAGCTCAAGACATTTCTGAATTAAGTACTCATTGTTAGTTATTTGCCACGTCACAAACAGCTCATTAGCATATAACTTCTAAGAACGCTTGGTATTTTACATACAGTTATTTACATTACATTACCCGCTAAGTTGGTGTACCGTGTTATCTCTTACGCTTTCGTTGTGTTTCTTCTGATAGTCCACGACCATCGTCAGGACTCTGTTTCTTACTTCGTCCAACGCACTGTACATCTCACTGGTGAATGGGTCGAAGTTTTGGAGTTTCTTCTTCCGACGGTATATGCCTTCTTTGAAGGATATTGCACAGTTCATGTCAGCCTGGAATGGGAAAAAATATAGAAATTAAATTACAGAAATAGAAAAATGTGACAGACCATTACAAATACAACAAATATGGCACAATTTAGGCGGTCTTATTGCTATAAAGCGATCTGTTCCAGACAACCTAGAGGAAAGTTATTTAGAATAGGTAAATAGGAAAGGCGGTGATCGATTTATATTTAAATTACAAAGTAAATATTTAAAAATAAATAATATAACAAAGTAAAACAGTAAAAATTACAAATGAAATAAAAGTCCGGTCGCCCAGCAGATAGAATTTCGTACAATGACCCCAAGCTACCCATCCTTATGGCTCGCGCGTTATATTGCTGTCGCGCTCGCTCGCATTCTCTGCGTCTACGTCTACAGTAAGAAATTCTATCTACTCGGCGACTGGACTTCAGTTTTATTTAAAAACCACAAATGTGTGTTATTCTTACCTCAGAAATAGTATGATTAATGAAGCCCAGTATCCCTTGCAGCGCTGCCCTAGTGTCCTGGACCAGAGCTTCATAGAACACCACATGGACAGCCCCAGCGAAGCGAGTCAGCCATAACCGGTGAAGAGACTCCCAGCCCACCAGCTCGTGAGACACGTAGGTAGCCCAGTCTGGGACACGTGACAATTTAACTAAAGCCTGGTCCATGAGCACGTAGAATTTTGTCCAATGACCCCAAGCTACCCATCCTTATCGCTCGCGCGTAATTATATTTCTGTCGCGACTATGCGGCGGGCACCCGCAGTGAGTGTGCGAGCGCGACAGCAACATAATTACGCGCGAGCGATAAGGATGGGTAGCTTGGGGTCATTGGACAAAATTCTACGTGCTCACGGACCAGACTATACCTCTGTCTGCTGGGCTAGGATGCGCGCCGTGATATTCTTATCGACGTCAAAATGTATGGGAAAAATTGATAAAATGGCGTGATAACCGCTTATCGTGGCGCGCATCCTAGGCCCACAGGACATTTTGATAAACATAAACAAAACGAATGTTTAAGCTGTGGTATGGTGGTAAGACCACCTGTGTCAAACTCAGAGGTCCCAGGTTTGATTCTCAAAGGAGGCATTTTCTGGTTGATTTTATAGAAAGTACATACTTAATTGTATCAGCTCCACCTCCTCTGTAGTTAACGATTACGAGTGAAACTGATTTCTATGTTGAGATGCATTTAACTCAGAAATACTCACAAATCTTTGGTATATTGTAACTTCAATAATTTTGTGTGTACAGAAATAGCAAAATTGTTGGATGTGCTACTCTGTATGGACTTACCTGTTTTTTTATGTTCGTGAGACTTCTTCTTGAATGCAGATTTGGGTGCAGTTCCTATGTGGCCCTTGTGGAGTCTGTTAAAGTCTGCCTGAAAATAAAAACAACAATATTTTTAAAGAAAGAATTGAGTAAATTAATCTATTTATCACTACAGGTCTAAAGCCCGGTCTGTGAGCACGTAGAATTTTGTCCAATGACCCCAAGCTACCCATCCTTATCGCTCGCGCGTAATTATGTTGCTGTCGCGCTCGCACACTCACTGCGGGCGCCCGTCGCACAGTCGCGACAGCACAGTTTGGGAACCAATGGATAGCACATAACTTGAGTCAGTGCCTGAGGTATGAGAGCAGTAAGGGAGGGTGTTTTTATGTCATCAAATGTCAGAGACTTCAGATCTTCAGATTTGTATGCTCAGGTCAGGTCATAATGTCACATCTGCATGCTCAGGTCAAGTCATAATGTCACCCTTCCTATGTCCCTCCCATATCTACACATTATAGCTTTGGTATGTTAGTAAATGGTAAGTTTATCCTTAGGTAGCAATAAGGAGTGATACATCTGTATCAAAGTACTAATACTATAATGCTAGATTTGTATACTGAATGCCTATTTACAGTTACTTGTTTACATTAAACTCAACATAATGCATATTGTTAATACTTCCACAACTGTTTGCCAACAAATGCATCTGATATGAACCAGATAAACAAATAATGTACTATCATAGCAACTAAATGCAGGAAGGATAGTCAAATACAGTCATTTAAATATGATGATATTTTATGGATAGTAGATTTCTATACCTATGATAGCAGTCTTTATTTTATTTATTATTAGGTACTGGTTGTTTGTTATAAGGTATAACCTACACTAACATTTTGTTATAAGGTATAACCTACACTAACATTTTAAAGAGGAAAGATTTTATTGTTTTTAATGTTAAATCCTGCATTATTTTAGATGGATATAGGCGGTACGAAATTCGCCTGATCAGCTGGTTAACAAATAAAAGTAGTGTGGGTCATACCAGTATGGCATCTCTTGGGTTCCTTATAAGTAATATGGCTGATTTGAACTTGTCACGGTCAATGGGCGGGGCTTCATGTGTTTTGACGACTAACACGGAGCCGTCCGTGATATTCTCAGCTGGGAAACCGTGTACTCGTAGACTGTGGTCCATGTATATTGAGCCTGTGACAATTCCTGAAAAGAAGTAGTAGAAATTAATAAGATATGTCTTAAAATTTTTCAATTTTTATTAACAGGGTATTTAGTGCTCTAAAGTATCTGAATATTCATCTATGCTTAAATATTTTAAAAGTTGTTCTTATAAGGACTTACAATTCTGTAGTACAAAAGTAGTAAACAATTAAAAAAGGTCCTATAATATTAATCTACTTAAATAGTAGGATATGTAGTCAGTTGGTGGGTAAATATGTGACATTAGCACATTTAAAAATGTAGACTTAAAGTAACTTTTAATAGAAAAACTGTTTTATACCTGTAGCCTGCTGTAACAGATATCTGAGCCATGTGTTCCCGCTGCCAGGGTAGGAGACGAGAGCCACCACATGGGGCGCCGGCGGGGACCGCCAGCGGAGCTCCTTGCACCAGTTAACAGCCGGCAGCTGGCGGTACGAGAAGTGATTCATATACCCATGCCCGTAGTATGTACTCTTCGAACCATTCAGCGGACTCAACATAAACATGATTATCAGGAAATACAACATCACCACAGCCGCCGCGAGCAGCAACAGCGATCTACGAGGCATGACTAACGATCACAGTTTACTCTCAGCCGTCAGAAACAAACGTTTGATTCATGATTTTATGATTTCATTGCCTCCATTCCGACGAACGCAACCGGGCCGGTGCGCAGATTTCTGACTTCGAAACGCCGTTTGGACGATTTATGAAATGCATATTCTTTGGTACTTGTATTCTTTTCGCGTGAATTTATTTGTTTTTGGCTTTTATTCAATATATCAACACAAAATCCATTACCCACCCCATTTTTTGCCCAAGGTCAAAAATTTTTGTGAAATGTCAGTCAACTAACTCAACTTTGAGTCTTTGACATTTTGCTTCCATCTGCGTTTCGTTGTTCGTAATTTCTGCATCGTTGACCCACAGACGTTTGCGATAACCGGGATTCCCGGTTATCTCACAGGGTATAATGTATCTGTAGGTAATATCACAGGGTATAATGTATCTATCTACTGGTAAAATAATTTAAAAAATCGGTTGAGTAGTTCCGGAGATTAATATTTTACTCTTAGGCCAGCTCCACACGTGAGACAAATTTTTTTTGCGTTGAGAAATATTCTTTATTGTTCTACATAATTACATACGCTCTGCTGGGCCCCGATTACGCAAAAAATTTTCATCTTCAACGTGCCCGAACATCAGCCGTCTTGACAAATCCGTATCGCAGAATCGAAGAAACGCGTCTGTATTGGAGACGTTAAAAATTAGCGTAATCGGGGCACTCACTGGTCCACCACTGGACGGACGGACAACTATTGGGATGTGGGACAAGGAGGCCTATCTATTATAACCTGATGGTGTCCACGGAGCCTAATGCAACAGAACCGGAGTGCAATGAACCAACAAGTGTGGAGACGGCCTTAGATTATGATGATAAAAATATTATTTAATTACAGAACTAATAATCCTTTACATAATTCCTAGCTTGAAAAAAAATATAGGGAGAAAATAAAAAAGTTTAATTACATAAAATATTTTATTAGTTATATTAGCTTTATTGAGACAAGTTTGTTAGCCGTAGTTTTCTCAGTATTGTGTGGCAGTTTTCAATATTGCCTGTACATATTTCTAGATACATTTGCAGTGGTAAAACTCGTGGTGAATTTATTTGCATCAAAATCTTCCTTGCTGTGACCAAGTCTCCTCTCAAGATGTGGCAAACAGCTGCCTTAGCCCACACTGAGACAGCAATCATGTCTCTCATTTGGTACGGCAGCACAGAAACTAGTTCATGTATCATTGGTGGATGCAAATGTTCCACTGCATCTGTTATTCTATCTAAGTTGATGAGTGCCTCAGCAGCGTATATGTGAGCCCATGCCTTGTGACTGCTGGAAACGTCAGTTTGACTTAACAGTTCATTGGCACTGACCAAGGCAGACAGTGGGTCTTGTAAGTTAAGTAAGACGTAACTCTGAAGAACCAATGTAGAATTTTTAATCTCACATCTCTGCTTCCAATTGATAGGGGGGCCAGGGGGGGCTTGAATAAGTGGCGTAGTAGCATCCGCGGGTGGTTCTTGATTCGGGAGCAGGGTTGCAGCATTCCTCAAACATAAAGCTGCAAATTCCAATGATAACGACGGAATTGCAAATGACTCTCCTGATGTAGAATATTTGTCTTTATTGTCTTTTGCTAGTAAGATTCTAGTGTGTGGGCCGCTGCCTAATTTTTTCACTGTATACTGTAAGGCTTCTTCGCTACAGCATTTCTTGACACAGCACTCTGCCAAATGTAACCAGATGCGAGGATTGTTGGGGTAGTGGCGAGCTGCTTCAACCAGACACTCAAAGGCACCTTCAGAGTTATTCGCCGCGAGTAAAGCTAGACCCAAATTGAAAACGTAAAGGGGACGGTCTCTACAGGCAATTAATCTTTCACTGTCTTCACTTTCCATAGCTTTGAAATGTTCTTTAACAGCATGTTGGAAATATTTAGCGGCCAGAAATGGTTTTTTAATTGACAGATATATTACTCCAAGGTTATTATTGATGGCTGCCCAAATATCCTCGCCTTGAGACTTTAAGTCATAGTTATATTGCATTGTTTTATACTGTCCTAATGTTTTTGCAGCTTCATTAACGTCTCCATTTATGTACTGTTGCTGAGCTATTATAAAGACATTTTCGATGGAGTCAGGTTTCAAGTTTAGCTTGACTTTTTGACCCTGTAATAGCTGAGCTCTGCTGGTTAATCGTTCAAACAGGTCACTAACTTCGTTGTAACTTTTCATTTGCTCTCCGTGACTTTTGGCTATTTCTAATGTTTTATCATAAGTGCGTCTGCACAGAGTGGCCTCCATTAACAGGAGAACTATCTGCTGGTATAGTTTGGGATCTTTTATGGCTTTTAAAGTCAATAACTTCTCCAAAACTACTGTACACTGATAATAGTACCGAGAGTGGTATAACAGCACGGCGTAGTTGTATAACAGATGTGGCAAAGTCAGGTCTTTCAGGTCAATATCAGGGAATGTGAGCCCACACAGCTGGGTTACTGCTTTTTTGAATTTGTCTATGTTTTTCATGTCCCCATTCATAAATTCAACTACAGCTTTGTTGTGCAGGACTCGCTTGTTGTTCGGACCAACAAGGCTTTCCAATTCAGTCAAATGCTGGAGAGCAGATGGATAATCTTTCTTCGTATAGCACTGATGGGCCAAGATGATTGGTTCTTCACGATCTTTAGGATTCGCCATTGCACTAGTTAACTAAACTTTACAGTGAATATCGCTACGGGACTGTGAGTAAAATGTGGACAATATTGACTATATAAATCGCAAAATAAACAAAAATAAATCCCTCGATGACTTCTCTCGCTCTCTGAAGATTTTTTTTTCATATTTTTTGACATTTGCTTGACGTTTGTCATTGGTTCGTTTGTTCTCAATTACAAATACTAGATAAAAACAAGAAATATCGAGTGAAAATATTTTGATACCTAACATCGAAACCGGCATGAGAATACGGGCCCAAGGCAAGCTGTCAAATTTGACATCAACAATAACAAATTTGGAGGTTATTTTTCTCTTACAAACTTGTTCTGTTTTGTTAATTTATTTATTCTAAAGTAGAATAAATAACATAATACTATGTCATCTGAAGAAAATGTAGACAGGGAAGCGATACAAGCTATAGTTAATTTTGTAAAGTCCAACGTCCCCAGATCAGACGTACCAAATGTGGAGGCTGAACTGAAGAAAGACTTCGTACTTGCTAAACGTAGGAGCAGGACACGGAAACAAAAGGCTAAGAAGAAAAAAGTCAAGAACTTGACGAGAAAAGAAAAGAAATCCCTAGGTTTCTATTCAATTCCAAGAGACAGCGTAAAATATGCCGACGTCCAACCTATGAACGATATTTGGTTAGAATATATTTCAAATATGTTAGAATTAGATAAAGAAGTGCCACAAATGTGTAGCAAAGGATGGGAAACGTTTAGCCAGACTATATACAAAGCTGATTTCCATGGAAGTATGCTAGAAGTAGCACGTTCTAAATGCCCTAGTTATGTAGGTAAAAAAGGGATATGCATAATGGATACTAGAAATACGTTTAAAATTGTATCGACAGACAATACAGTGACAACCATACCTAAAAGGGACAGTGTCTTTGATATTTACATGAAGAAGATTAAAGTCACAATATTTGGGAAGCATATTTGTGTGCGACCAGCTGAGAGATCATCCAAAAAGTTTAAGTCACTACTCTTTCCGGATTTATAGCTATAATAAAGTTTATGCTTATAAGTAAATTATCTTTTAATTTTGTCTTTTCCTCTCATTGTTTATTTATCTAATTACTAGTTTTACTATTTACTTCAATCCCCATGCTTTCCTGATGGCTAGATTATTTGAGAAGACTATTCCTGTAACATATTTATTAATTTATTATAATTATGACATTAAATTAAGTTCTAAATGTGAGTTTAATGCCATAGAGTATTCTCTCCCAGCTGCTCTGACCTTCTGATAGTCAATCTCTAATTATAGGTATTTCATCATAAAAATCTCATTTTCCTTAAAGCTATATTATTATACTTATGACCCACTAATTTAAACCTTTCATATATTAATGCTACGTCGAAAACTAGTTGAATAATACAAATAAAAGTTCAGATTTTATTTAAGTAAGATTTTGCATAATAATATTGAAACATCTGATAAGAATGATTGAGAAATTGCTTCTCTGTTGTTTAAAAACATTAGCATCTCAAAAGATGTAAGTAATCTATAATAATATAGACGACATTGCATTCTTGCGCTGCTTCTTCTCAGCACTGGCCCATTTATTGTCCTGAAGCAGTGGTAGGGTTAATACTGGGTAGTGTAAAAGTGCTTTGTTTAGTTTTTATTAAGCACACTGCAAGTCTGCAATCATATTAGTTGTACCTATGATGTACTATTATTGCAACAAAAATAAATAAGTAGTGATTTGTCGCATCTTATAGAGCGCACGAGGTCTCTGAATCGATCCCCGGTTTGAATCTGGGACACTCCTGACTGAAATACTTTCCTGGGGGTTTGTTATTACTCATCAAAATTACTTTTAAATCGTTATCAAAGTGCTGTTTAAAATAGGGTGCATTCCTGAAGCGGTTCGTAACTAGATATCGCTTATCGCGGCGATTTGCTGACCAAGCGCACAGTGGCACGTTTGTGCGGCCGGTCACATACCTACTTACTCTTCACACGGCGTAGGGTTGGCTTTCCATAAATATTGGTAACCTACTTAAATGTAATACGCGATTATTTATAAATGATAAATAACTGGAATTAAATAAATAGTAATACGAGATTATAAATAACTTGAAAAACTCTCTGCCTAAGGCGGGAATCGAACCCACTCTTAACTCTTACATTTAGGTAAAATAGTAAAAAGGTCATTCAAAAGTTAAATACCTACTAGATAAAATCGATAGCTTTAATTTTAGCGATAATAGCCGAATACAACAAATATTTCTGTAATAGTTCTGTATCGGACAGGCCGACTCGAGATTCGAGGAACGAGGGTTCGAATCCCGCCGCTGCCGCACTGGACTACTTATGTAGATACCTACTTATTGGCGAACCTACTCGTATATTAGTGCTCTTAATACTGAAGATTGAAAAACTCAAAGAAAACATTCCTCTATTTTTCAAAAGAAAGAACTGCATTCGAAGATTTTTGGAAATTCGCTTGCTTCACCCAGGAATCGAACCGAATAATCTGTTAAAAATGACATCCTGTACCTTTATTGCATTAATCGTTAGGGTTAATTATAATAATTAAATCTCTCTAATAAACTTGATAAATTAAATGGAGAAAACCATGAAATCCTAAATTAATTTACTTATTTAAAAAAAAATGGCCATGGTGGTAAATTTTCATAATTAACTTAGCGAGGGGTTAACGTGACTATCAGTAGGTCATTAATTGTAAATACAAATCTTACTGATAATAATATCATACTTGAATTAATGTTAGTAAATTATTTTTTATTACTCGTAATACCTATCAGGTCTTAATTATAATGCAATCTTTATCATTTTAAGAAACTTGCTGACAGCCCTATCGGAGCGTTATCTCACAAGATCATCGCGGATATTTTAAATGTTTCTCGAGATGCGCCCGCGCACATTGAGTGGTGGCCGATGGAAACATGAGGCTGTGGGTCCTGCTGTGTGTGGTGGTTCTCTGGGACTCTGTAAGTACCTATAATTTATTTATTTATTTTAGGAAGACCAGGGTTTACATATTATTAATTCATTTTACAATCAGTAACACTTGTAGGCCCCCACTGATAGAAATTGTAATAATGTTAACTAATTACGTGGGACACTATTTAAGTTGTGAGCCTAACTATGAAAACAAAGTAGTTTATTATTAAAATGGTATTGATTGCGTTTATTGGTATTGTCTTTCATGATTTATGTACTTTTTAATGTGTCCTAAACACTTTTCATAGCATTTTTTCCACTCAGCTTGAGGCACCTCCAAAGCATGGTTTTAGACAGCACCGACAGTTGCTTCTGGCTACATAAATCGCTGTTCACGCATTTAATTTTAATATATGGGTACCAAAAGAAGTGTTTAGATTCCAAGCAAGAATTTTGTAGCGTTGGACCTGTTTATTTCATATTTTGAGTGTTCAAATAGTCAATTGTTTGACGAGACGTGTAAAAGCTCACATTTTCATCACGAATGGCGATTTGACTATGCTGGTCAGTTTCCCTTATTAAACTGAAGACTTTTGGAAAAAAGTGGCTGTTTACTATTAAAAATTAACCATTCTAAATTTCTCTAGTGACGTTTCTGTCATATAATCGAAAATTTCGGAAAAATAGGCGACCGTAAGTTTCAAATTGTTCCGAGTGCTTGGGACTTTTGTTGGAATTGGTTCATCTTAAAACACCTCCATAGTCGATAGCTGTTTATTTTCAGGATCATTATGCATAGATCCTTAATTCGTCAACTGTCACAATTTTAAAAACGGCTTTTAAAGTTTTTTAAACGTATTTATCAAACATTTCCAAGGACTAAACGACACAAGCGTCCTATTGAGCGTTTGAAAAATTTTGTGACATCCAGCGAGAAAAAAACGTATTAACCATAATATGGTCATACAATATTTTATTACTGCTAGTGGAATTAATGCCTAGGATTATCTCAATCCTACGATATATCACATGACGAGGTTTCTCTTCCATTTTTCTGACAACATCAATGTTTTCCGCCACTATTAGTCATTTTGGACGACTTTCGCAAAGTTCACTGGTGAGCCAATGACATACAATATTATACTTCTTAAACTAGCGTTTTACAATGGTAAAGGACAGATCTTTATCACCAAAAGTGAAATTTAGCTGACCGCTTCAGTTTTGTATTGATTAACCACGTCGAAAGTCATAATAAATCTTCGCGCGAAAATTTCCGCAAGTCAATTCCATGTTTTTGTAGTCAAGATAATTTTCAATTCAATGTTAATAATACAAAACGTGCTCAAATGATAAAAAGTTTTGAATAAGGTTGTAGTCAAAAATGTCAAACTTTTCATTAAAAGTATCAGATGTTGTCTAACAACACGTTATGTTGTCGAGGCTCACAACTTAAATAGTGCCCTAGTAATATACGTTATAGTTTTATTGGAAGAAATCGCTTCTTAACCATTAGCCGTTAACCCAAATTGGTGTCTTTAGGCATGTCGCCTCGAGTGGTCTTTTTGTAGGGAGCTTTTCAAACACTGTGCCTCTAGCACGAAAAACTCGTCTTTCGCAAACGATTCGAGATCGAAAGTTTTTCATGCTAGAAGTCCGTGTGATTTGATTCTACTAACCCATTGCATTACAAATGATTTATTGTGCCGCTCCAAAGATTAAGTACAGTACAAAAATCGGCATTTATTAAAAGTTCTAAGATTTTTTTTTTATTTGGTATTGGTAGGCAGGCGAAAAGTAGGTAATTTAACTTACGCCGTTCAAATGACCCCTTTTGCATAGGACGGTGTTTTAATAAGTCTTGTTTGTAATTAAAACTAGTGTAATTCAAGGGCTAAAATTATTATGTAGCCTTAGGTATGTCGTAGTGGTAAATGGTCTCCTTTTCGAGCACATGTGGTCCCGGGTTCAATTTGTATTCATCATCATCATCTCAGCCATAGGACGTTCACTGTTAAACATAGGCCTCCCCCAATGCTTTCCATGTTACCCGGTTGGTAGCGGCCTGCGTCCAGTTTGTATTCAGAACGTTTAATCTAACAGTGGTATTTTTACAGGCCTCGCCCCAACCGACAAAAAGCACAGACAATGCCGACCGCGAGTGCTGTCCGTGCCCCAAAGACTCTGCTGTGGCCAGCAGCAATGCGCGTGAGTCAATCGACTGGGACCAATCCGCTGCGTCGAGTGTTGCGCGCGCAGACTGCCCATGTATGGGCATGGGAAGAAGCGCCGATTCTGATGGCGCGCCGTCTGCGTTCTTCCCGGCTGCTGTGCGTGCGATCAGGCCTTTTGTGAGGTATGATATCAGTTTCATTACACTTTCAAAACCATCTAGCAAAATCGTGACGCAAACACACATAAAATAATAATGTTTTGTGCGGGAATCGAACCTCCGGTCCGGTCTGACCCACTAGGCCAGGTGGCCGCCTTGCCTAGACGAACATAAAAAAATATTCTTAACTTCTTTTTTGTAATTTTCTGTTTTACATAGAAAACATTCAGTTTGACAAGCATGTTTCCACAGAGCACGTAACGTACGTTTCATGCACAAAAATGAATGTATTGCGCCAGAATTAAACCCACGACGTGTACGACGACACGGTACGTGAACCACCAGTTTTGTGCATAATTAGTACCTATAACAAACTTATTTGTTGTTATCTACATGGGCGTAACGATAAGTTACAATTCTGTGTCCCAAAAAATTTTTTTCCTACAGAGACAGTAGATAGGTAAGGAACAGTCATGGTAAAAGTTTGAAATGAATGAACTACATAATGTTTTTTTTTTGTTTTAGCTTGGACGACTCAAAAGAAGAACCAAAGCCTCTCCTGCACCCAGAAGTGGATTTAGCGTCGTCAGTATTGGACACTCTTCGGGAAGCAACGGATGAAGAGTACGAGGAAGCCTTAGCAAGGGACGCAGCTCGAGCCGCCTCAGATGACGGTATTGCAGCAGAATCAGCTCCCAACCTGGTAACTGTCATCTTTAACCCTAATGATTCATCTCATGATGACGTCATCCCAGAAGCATCCACTGCTCACGAGGCTAGATGCATCAATCCTTTAGGTAGACCAAATCTTAGTCTTAGAACTTCAGCGCACGATCCAGATATTTTGACAGATATATTGGGACTGCCTAAAAGAAAACCATCAGCTCTGAGAGCATGGAACTTATTTGATATGGATAGTGGTGTAGGAGCTAGTAATGTAAACGAACAAGTAGTCAAACCCAATTTTAAAGAATCACAAGCAGAGACAATAAAATCTCCTTTGATTAAATTTTCCAATGATAAATCTAAGAGCCCGCTCACTCAAAACGTTCCTACTTTATTTAAAAACACAGACAATGATTTGAGTTCTACAATTCTAGATAAACTCAGAGAGTCTAAGATAGCTGTACCTAAAATACAAATACCAGATCTCTCGCAAATCTTTTCAAGGAAAGACGCATCTAATGCTTTTAGAAAGGTTGGAGATAATGAACTTGCTACTAATACAATTGAGACTGACAGTCGCAATTTACCAAGTGCATTCAAACTTAAGATACCACACATCTCAACACTGATTCCCAACATTGACTCTACAAGTAGAGCTAATGATTTTGTAAATGAGAACCGCAATTCTGTGGATACAACGAAATTTGATCTCCCAAACATTGCAAAATTGATACCTAAGATAGACTCATCTAGTCTGCGAACAACAAACAACGATGGTCTCAGTAATTCAGGCATTCAGGGATCAGAAAGTACTTTGAAACTTCAATTACCAAAATTAAGAGCAAGTGTTGGAAGGAATCAAAAATTATCTGATGATTCATTTAATTCTGATAGTTCCAATTCAGCCAGTACCATACAAGAGCGATACTCAAGCTTTTCTAAATTAAACACAGACACGAGAAATACTAATGAAGTTAACAGCGTTTACACCAATTATTTAAAAATGCCCGCAGTGAAACAAATAAACTTAAAACAAATGGAAAATGTCGATGATGAAGACAACACTCCAAAAAAGAAAACAGGATTTAATCTTAAGTTGTCCGATTTGAATTTAGCATCCACAAATTCTCGCGACGCAGCTACAGATTTACTTAATAATATTATTAAAGGACTACAGATTCCAAATCTAAATAACATAATACCATCCGATATGTTTAAATCGCAAACCAATGACCTGACTTCAAAATCAACGGTCCAAAAAGAGGTTCCTGTTAATCTTTTTGAAACTGAAATACTGGATACGGTTCCTGGTGCCTCTGAAAAACAAACCACGCAAGTTAACGAAATACAAAAAGAAAGAGATGATGATATTCGCAAAATAATAAATGAAGAATTAAAAAATGAAGTCGAGGACTTGCCAATGAAAACTGAAATACTTGACAGTTTACCAAAGTCTTCAGAAGTATCTGAAATTGATGATAATAAAGATCCTGAAGCTAACTTGATTGGATGTACTACAGGTGATTTAATCAATGCTGCTTCTGAACCAAGCCCAAAGAGTTTATCTAATGATGAAGAGACATCAGAACTTATTAATGAAATAGAGTCAATGAATGAAGATAACATTGATGATGGGATTAGCGATGGAGTAATGGATAGAGAAAATGTTTTTGAGGATGCAGAGGATTATGTTGATGAGGCTAGAGGTTCGTTAGATGAATTGGGAAATAATGATTTCGCTTCCGAAAATAAGATAGATGGATTAGCGATAAACTCTGATATTCAGTCGTTGAGTGAAAAAAGTGTACCCGAATCAGGTTCCAGAAACAGCCAGGATGCATTAAAATCAATAGGAGCGAGACTTAGGCAGAGGCTAGACGATTTAAAGTTAGCACCAAAAAAGACTATCGAATTGCCGAGATTAAGCGGAGTCAAAAAGTCACAAATGGACCAAGCCCGATCTGAAAGTCAAAACAAAGATGTAAAAATGAGTAGACAAGATTTAGACAGCGAAAAATCTGATGAAAATGTTGATCAAGTGAATATTGACGATTTACAGCAGATGTCAGATTCTTTGTTGAACCAAGAAAATGAAAATGTGCAAAAAGAAGCTGCCGTGGAACAAAACGATATCCCTGAAATAGTTAACAATGAGTCGTCTGAAGAGAATAATATTCAAAAAACAGACAATGAAGTGTTAGAACCAAATAATATAAATAAAGTTGACAGTTCTTGTATTGTTACTCCAGATAAAAATAGCGGATTAGATATGAAATTTGACTCTAACAACAATGAAATGACAGTGGGAGCGAGTGAAAGAGTAGCTAATATTGTGAGACCAAATCTTGCCTCACCTCTGGGTCAAAGTATAATTGTACAACCTACGTTATTCCCGTCGAATTTGGATTTATTTAACAGACCAACACTTGATTTAAACAATTTGATTAATAATCCGCTACCCTCGTTTAAAATACCAAATCTTTTAAAAGCAAGTGAAGATAGTAAAACGAAACTATTTTCACCTAGCGATGATAGTATTGAAGACATCTTAAAACCAGATAGTTGGCCAGCTCCAGGGACTTCCAGTTTGAGATCAAGTTTACCATCTCTACAGCCCCTGGAAGATCTCAATTTAGATATACTGCAATTAAAACCTTTGAGTTCAGATATGCCTGATTTACCAGGATTGAATTTGAATTCTTTCAAGACGAGACTGGCTCTGCCAAAATCATTGGATTTGAAGCCTGTGTTACTGGAGTCATCAGTAGGCAATAAAAAGGGGGTGATCGGTGCTACGCTTACTCTAGGCTCTGGCAAAGACATTGATCGTTCCAATTTGCTACAAGAAGCCAGTTCCTCGTTAAAGACCCCTAGTATCCTCGGACAACCGCTAAGCACTTTACCTAGCTTTGAAGATTTACATGAAAGTTTCTTGGAGAAAACTCAGAACTTACTAAGCACTCCTTTACGGACAACAGGGAGAAACGTCGTTGAAGACACATTCCGTTCTAGTCAAGTTCTAACTGATAATTTGCGAGTTCAAGCTGAAAATACAGTAAAAGATATCCAGGAGAATTTGCAGTCAGCTTTAAGAGTACCAGGATTGCCAAGTCCACGTTTAGGCTCATTCAGAAGTTCAGATGATCTATTGGAAGAGATATCAAGAAGACACGAAGACGTCAATGATAAGTTGAAGGGAATATCTGTAGATCTATCTGATCGTTTAGAGTCATTCCGAGATAATCTTCTTGATCAGTATAGGATCCCGTCTTTAGGTTCCAGTCTACTAGGTGAAAGTAGATTATCTCCACTCAGCTTGGATTTCCCCAAACAAAGCAGTACTTTTAGATCAAAACCGAGTAAAACTACATTGAAGTTTTCTAATAAAGGAAAGTTTGTCACCCCAGCAAGTAAAAGTAAAAGTTCATCAAGGACGGCCGCAAATAAAAACAAACTGAAAGCAGCGTCCAGTATCGTAGCTCCGAAAGCAATAGAAATTCCTAAATTAAGAACAGCACCAAAAGAAACAAATCTCCTCAAAACACTTCGGAAAGAAACTACTTTAAAGACACCACAGTTTCTTTCCAGAGACAGGCCGACTTTAGGTTTGTTACAACCAGAAAAGAATTTGATTGATTTTGACAGGCCTCTTATGAAACCTAGATTGGGCCAAAGTAAGGTCAAAATATCATTTTCGACAACGCCCTTGCCACCGGTTTTGAAGAACAAGCCATCTTTTAGAGCCAATTCGAAACTAAAAGCCAAACCTTCGTTTAAAGATTCTCTACCATTATCTAGAAGCGCATCAAAGGATAAAAAAGTTTTAGGATCAAAATTGAGTTCATTGAGAGATTCTGGTGGATTTGCAAGCGAAAATGTACCTTCAAGAGTTAAAGCACCAGGCAGCTTAAGGTCTGCAGTAGAATCAGATGCTATTCCAAAATCAATATCAACGAGCACTGCAAAACCAGTTATCAGTCTCTTACTTCCTAAACCCAAATCTTTAGGTAAATCGTCTAGTGATCCTGAATTAGGGTCGTCAGCATTAAAATCGAAGTCTTTAGTCTCTGATCTAGCAGTTCCAAAAACAGAGAGCATTCTAAGAAGTAGCGATGCTCCTCGACTTCCAGCCTTATCATGGCCTAAGAAACTAGACGATGAGTTCTTGAGTAAAGTGAGAGAAGCACTAAGGGCTAGGTTAGCAGATATTGGCAAAAAACCCGTCAATATAGTTGACTCCAAATTGACTACTGAGCCTCCTACTGATATTGACATGGCAAGATCAGCGTCGAATAACGTTGAAGTAACCGACTTACAGACGATGAAGGAAAATACCGCGTATACCTGTAAGATGATGTGTACTAAAAATACGTAAATTGATATTCGTTTATTAAAAAACATCACAAATTGTTGACTAGGGTACTTAATTAAGGCTGAGTTGCACCACCTAACTTTGACCGTAACTATAACGATAACCGGCGTTTTTTGTATGCAGTTTGACAGATTTTTGACGTTTGTCAAAGTTAAAGTATGATGGTGCAATCCAGCCTAAAAGATGTAACACTGAGGAGATAGTAACACGAAAGTAGAAAATTCAAGACCCTTGAATACTTACTGAACTGATACGAGTATTTAATTGTATCAAACTGAATATTTATTGTACAAAAACGGTAATGCTAATTAATCTAGGTAGTCCTTTAAGATGGCCCTTGTATTGTAAACACGAAGAATATACGAATGAAGGCACCAGTTGGCGCCACTAGCGAGTAAGGTCCTATCAGTAAGCCAGCGCAAGTGGTGCCAATTGGTGTTTGTAAATACGATAGATATTCTTATGATAAGTAGTAATTAAAAAAGTTTTATATTATTTTTGTGAATAAAAAATAAAAAAATGTTTTTTGTTTCATTTCAATTTCAATGCACAATCAGAGGACTGCAGAACCAAGTTCCGTCTCTCTTGCATAAGTTTATTGGTGAGGTCAGAGATCTTTTTGGTTCCTTTTGAACGACGGTTTTAAAAAACTTAGACCCAGTCGTTTGGACAATTTCCACGAACCTGTCATTGTATTCGTCCACATTTTCACAGTCTCCTAGGCATTCGAAACGATTTTGCTACTCGAGCTGAAAGGTTTCGGGGTTTTGGAGTTGGATGGGCGCTGGGTGGAGCGTAGACTTCATCAGTCGACGCCTCTCCAGCTTGGGTCTGATATCCAATGTGCCTCTTACCATTCGGTGATCACTTCCTGTTTTGACCGACCTATGGTAAGATTGAAATGGACCCTGACCCCAATAACCATTTTAAAACCTAGGAAGTGCGCTCATACTAGGTTTGGAATCTGGTTTTTACGAAGTAAAAAAAAAGAAAACCATTTGAGTGTTAGTAAGGGCCATAAAACTTGCTATTTAAAAGTTAATTAATTAATTTATTGTAAAATATATAGTTAAATTATTAAGCTTCAAAATAAACATCAAAAAGTTTTCAAAAGTTTGAGTATACCAGTATGGTAAACGAAAATGTGTTTTTTCGCGCTCCTGTAAAATTTACTCCGCTGCTCTTACTAGGTTCTTAAATGGTTCAGCCGAATCCTTAATTGAGATTTACTTTAAACGCCTGACAATTATTTCCTGGCAATTGTTAGCCCGTGTGGTGACAGCAGAGTAGAATACATTTTGTCACCAAGTACTTAGGGGCTACACATCAAACAGAGAACGGGCAGCAGCGCTCTCTGAAAAACATCTTTTAAACTGCGATCTCCAACTCGCCTGCCAAGCGTGGGGATTATGGCAAAACCCTCCGCTATAGTGGAGGAGGCTCATAGTCCAGCAGTGGACTGTAAAGGGCTGTTGATGATGATATAAGGTATTTATTTTTAACATTATATGCTCCAATTGGCGTTAATTTGGGGATTGTCAATGGGGAATAGTGGAATAAGCCTGATTTGATTTGACATCAGCAGACCAACCAGACCGCAGAGACTTTAAACTTTAACCCCCTTATTAATAAAAGTTACATCCTAGTTGAACTCTGGTTTAAATTGTCATTTACTTAGTATGGAAATATCACTTTTCATCCCGGGTGTAACTTTTACCCGGGTGTGATAAGGGGGTAGAGATTTAAACTTTTTCCTTGAGTGTTAGTACCTAGATCAGTATACGAGTATAATGGATAGCTTTCCGCCCGCTGCTTCGCCAGCGTGGAATTTTTCGGTTTTTCATATTATAAAATGTGGCTTTCTATTGGCGAAAGAATTTTTAAAATCGGTTCAGTAGATCACGAGATTACCCTTTACAATTTAAGAAATATACATACACACAAACTTTACCTCTTTATAATATTAGTATAGATAACTCTTAGTCATCTATCTTCATCCATCCAGGAGAATGTTACTTTTTAAATCAGCACGAATATTTTGCATTGTTATGCATTTATTTCTGCATTTACAAAATTTTCCTCGATAAGGTCAAGTTGCCAAGGTTTATCACTCATTACATGGTTTATCATAGTTATTCTAGCTTACACAATTTTACAACAATCAATGCATAAAACAATATGTAAACCTATACGAAACCTTTGTCACTACGTGATTTTTGCAAGCTAACTTTCTTCTTGACTCTACATTGAACAGTTTTGTTAATTAATTATAATTTTTAAGAACCTGTTTTTTTTATTGGTTTTGTGAACAAATGAACGTTTGAAATGATGGTTAAAAGTTGTTTAAAATCAATTAGTTTAGTAGTTACAGTGTTATCAGTGAATGCCGCCTTGTTTACTACTAGAGGTTTGTTTGTAATAATCTATTTACCTACTTATAATAATAATATTATGTCTTAGTTGTTAAAAATTCTTAGGCTGAGTTACACCACCTTATTTTAACCGCAACGATAACATAACCGGTTATTGTAATAAAATAAGCTTATTGTATGGAGTTTGACAGTTTTTGATGTTTGTCAAAGTTAAAGTAAGATGGTGCAACCAGCAACTCAGTCTTAAACTTGAGAGTCGTGTCTCAAACTTTTTTTTTATCCACAACGAGGAAGCTCTTGGCATGTATCTCACCTCGGTGATTTTAAATTATTACTTCAATATTGTTACAACAACGTCAAAACGTTACGTAAATAGATATCAAAATAACTTAAAATTTCTCCAAATATTTATTTAGTTTTATTTGTGCACATACAAAAAACAGCAGTTTTTTATATATCATCAAACTTTTGTCAAGACGGGATCGGACAGTGGTAAACTATTTACCACTTCTTTAAAATGTCTAAATTATATGAATAAATCAATTGCAGACGTTGCCTATAAGTGAGATTATACAATAAATGTTATAGTTTAGGAATTTGAATCCAAAAAACATTTATCAGAATTTTCGTTGAACAAAGTTTCAAAAATACCAAAAACGCGCGCTAAAAACTTGAAATTTTTCACACCAAAACCGTTTGGTTGACTTTGACATTACCTGACAGTGACAAATGACGTTGAAAAGTTGTAAAATGGCATAGATAAGTAAAAAAATATATTTAAAAATATAAATAAGTGACCAAGATATCTTTAAGTATTACCATATCGAAAATTAGGATTCTTTTTTAAAAGTAAACAAAGTGGTAATATATTTACCTTTATTTGAATAAGGGTTAAGCGGTTTAGATTTTTCATACAAAAGGATTTTCCCGCTAATTCCTGTTCCCGTGGGAATTCCTAACTATACTATAACCTGCCCAGGAGTATGTGAAGAATAATTTTGTACTAAGTTTCGTTAAAATCCGTCGAGTAGTTTTTGTTTCTATAAGGAACATACAGAGACGGACAGACAGACAGACAGACAGACAAAAATTTTACTGATTGAATTTTTGGCATCAGTACCTATCGATCACTAATCACCCCCTGATAGTTATATTGAAAATATATTTCATGTACAGAATTGACCTCTCTACAGATTTATTATAAGTATAGATTATACACAACGCTTTGCCTGAAAACGTGATTATGCACTGTTTTATTATTATACTGCCTGTCACGAATCTTTGCGCCGAGTACTCGTGCATATAAGTAATCCACGTATAACGTAGCGTATAACCCAAGTGCGTCTCGAGCCTGGGGTTGCTAGGTTTGAAAACACGAAAGCCAGACTCTTGTCCCTAAAAACCAGACATACTATTTTTATTAACTAACAATGATGACACGAGTGTGAGTATTAAATCTCCGAATCGTTAGCCCAATATCCTGAATATTATAGATATAATTTTTTGGCTCGACTTGACGGCGCGGTAGCCCTATAAAAAGCCTAACAAAAGCCGGACAGGCCGGACAACACAGTATCTTTGTTGTTAATGTTATACCTTTTCAGAGTTCCCATGCCAGCCCAGATCTATTCCAGGTCAATCTGTGGTCTGCGTGTGTAACGCGGACTACTGCGATAAGATTATGAGAGAAGCACCAAAAGTTAACCATTATGTTGCTTACACTAGCTCTAAGGTAAGCTGTAACACATAGGCTTAGTTGCTCCACCTAACTTTCATCGGTGTTTTTTGTATCGAGTTTGATAGACTTTTGTTAAAGTTGTTTAACGTTTGTTAAAGTTAAAATAAGATGGTGCAACTCAGCCTGTAGGTCTAACTTTTGAAGAATTATTATTAACTAGCGGCCACCCGCGACTTCGTTCGCGTGGATCCCGTTTTAACCCCTTCATCTATCTTATGCGGTTTAGATACAAATGTTTTTTCCTTCTAACTCCCGTTCCCGTGGAAATTTTGCAATATCCTGTTGTAACTAAGCTTTAAGTTTATTAAGGTATCTGCATGCCAAATTTCAAGCGTCTTACTTAAGCGGTTTAGATTTTTCATACAAAAGGATTTTCCCGCTAATTCCCGTTCCCGTAGGAAGAAATCCGTCGAGTAGTTTTTGTTTCTAAGTATAAGGAACATACAGACAGACAAAAATTTTACTGATTGCATTTTTGGCATCAGTATCGATCACTAATCACCCCCTGACAGTTATTTTGAAAATGTAAGTATTTCATGTACAGAATTGACCTCTCTACAGATTTATTATAAGTATAGATGTAACCATTAATTTCAGGCGGGATTGCGCTTTCAAAAAACTACAGGACAAATGCAAGAAGCTATTGATGGTAAGTTATTTTTTATCTATCAGTTATTTTTTTTATATGATTAGGGCAGAGAGAATTCTAAGGGTGATTTTATATGGTATATCTTAGATGAACATACGATTACTATTACGACCGTTCTACATTGTGGATTTTGGCACGCATGTGGCTCTGGTTCGCATATCATTATTTCATACACATATTTTCCCGTTCCGTGTGCTTGTAGCCCGCGTAATAGGGAAAACGGACAGCCCGCATGTGGACCAGATCCGCACGCGTGCTGAAAAAGGCACTTGAATCACGAATCACGATTCAGTGACTTTCGGCACGCGTGCGGGTCTACGTGACGTAAGGTCCTATGTCCCCTAGATGGGGCAGAGGGCGTCCACAACAGTCCTCCATCGCGTTCGGTCTAGAGCTTCGCGTTTGATCTCGCTCCAGGTCTTGCCGATTTTCTTCGCCTTGTCTGCTACAGTGCGCCGCCAAGTTGTCTGCGGCTCTACTTGAGACTGTTTAACTTTAACGAGGCGTATGATCTCGTTTACGTTTTTTTTGGTGGGATAATGATTACTTTTTTATTTTCAGGCACTTTTCCGTTGACGACACTAACACTGAACGTGAGCATTCAGTACCAAGCGATAGACGGTTTCGGTGGCGCCATCACGGACGCGGCTGGACTCAATTGGCTGAGCCTCACCAATACCAACCTACGCCAAAGTTTGATAGAGTAAGTTTATCCACTGAAACTACTTTTTTGCCATTGAAGTAATATTACTGCAGTATCGGCGTCAGTACTATACAGGGTGTTGATTTCAATCCTCGCCATATTTAGGGAGTTGATTAAGTAGCTTATTCTATAATATAATACTAGAGTAGGCTATCCGACATGATAAGCGAGCGATTCGCGTAGCTCGATGGTGCCGCAGTGTAAACGTATTGCAGCCACAGTACGAGTACCTACCAGTACAGTTTATAATGTCGCACGGAAAATATTCGTTAAAAATTCCACTTTCGTTTGTATATTTTTTGTGTTAATGGGTTTATTTTTAAGTCATAATAGATCATCTAAAAAAATATGGCGAGAATTGAAATCAACACCCTGTATATCTCAATGTTTTCTGCTTCAAAAATTTTGTTACTACGTTTCCCTAGTTAAGTTTTAACGCTCAATTATAACTTATTTTATTCGTCGACTAGGCTCTATGAAAATATTGAATGAATCCCATATCAGAAGCGCCCCAAGCAAACACATGATACGTGGTACCTATTATACTTTTCTCTTTTGAACGAGAGAAAAAAATATATAAGTAAAAATATTTTTTTAAAGATTGGCACCCGTTTTTACATGGGATTATCTTGAGTTTTTCCTATTTTTGCTGTTCAATTTAGTTGTCATTACGAAAAGTAATTTAAAACCGCTCCCACGCAAGTACTTGCGTGCAGACGTAAGCACATCAAAGTAAAAAAAAAACTTGTATATCTTATATAGCAGTCTTATAATATTATATGTGCGATTAAGGAATAGTCTGATGTCCGAACAAGTCATTCTGCTCTTCGGTCAGCGTATCAGGTTCAACTGGTTTCTGACACTTCTTCTTCGTCGCTACAATCTTGCGAGAGTGGACGTGGTCGTCACACGTCCGGTGGCAAGCCTCACAATCCGTCGCCATTTCTACCGCACTGCAGCCTTTCTTGTGCACTCGTGGCATTTTCAATTGAACTTTAACTAAGTGTTTAACAATTTCAGCTCGTACTTCAGTTCCAACGGCCTCGAGTACAACGTTATCCGAACGCCGATAGGCGGCAGCGACTTTTCCAGCAGAAAATATGCGCTAAATGAGTTACCTATGTACGACAAACAGCTGTCAAATTTCAGTCTCGCTGAAGAAGATTTCAATTTGAAGGTAAGACTAAAGGTATAGTTCATACTACACAATAAGGCTGCAATATGAGTTTTAGCTGCAACAATGTAGGTAGACAACGACTAGCTGGAAGACGTAGTGTGGGCAGGCCTCCTACTAGGTGGACCGACGCGTCTGGTGAAGGTCGCAGGAGGTGCCTGGATACGGGCGGCACAGGACCGGTCCTCGTGGAAAACCTTGGGGGAGGCCTTTGTCCAGCAATGGACGTCTTTCGGCTGAAACGAACGAATGTAGGTAGGTGTCTTTTTTCTTAAAGCTCTTGGTCATTTCACCTAATAGAAAGTGATGATCAGGCTGAAGGCGGTGGTGAGCTTCATCTTGAGTCTTCACCAAAGAGGAACTGGTTATCTTACCTCTGTCTAGTCTCAACAATCCTGTTAACATTGTTGTTATGGTGACAGACTTAGGTAAGTGGTAGCTAGACAGGCTTAGAACAAGTCTTATCACCAATGTAACCAAACAAAAAATAAGCCAGCTGGGATTTGAACCAGGGATTGTACATCAAAATTGTAAATCTTTTTTTCACAGATCCCAATGTTCAAGGCAGCAATGAAGGCTTCTAATCAAGACATATACGTCATCGCCACCACCTGGTCCCCTCCGGACTGGATGAAGGTGTCCAACGGGATTTCTGTGTGTGGGAAACTGAACCCTGATTACTACCAGACTTACGCAGACTACCATGTTAAGTAAGTATTCAGACTTTTGTTATACTCCTGGCTATACAGTAGTTTCTGTGGTGGAATTAGATAGCTATAGTGAGGTCTGCGAGCACGTAGAATTTTGTCCAATGACCCCAAGCTAACTATCCTTATAACTCGCGCGAAATTATGTTGCTGTCGCTCTCGCACACTCACTGCGGGCGCCCGTCGCACAGTCGCGACAGCAATATAATTACGCGCGAGCGATAAGGATGGGTAGCTTGGGGTCATTGGACAAACTTCTACGTGCTCGCAGACCGGGCTTTACCTACTTAGATACTATAATGTACACCACATAAAGCTAAGAAAGTAATATGTACGCATAAAACTTAAACGGCACAATTTAGACGAGTTTATCGCTACGAAGCGATCTATTACCGAGATTAGCTGGGTTGAAGAATCCCGTCTGTCCTCAATAGGTACTGAAGATGAAAGTCGAAAGTTTGAAGAAATAACATCTTGTAACATTATTAAAAAAGACGCTGACAATGTGACAACATTTTCAAGGATGTCCACTGCAGGACAATAGCTTCCCCCAAGGAAACCCTGTTTCCACAACGACCTATCTTAGGACACTGCCTGCATCCATGTGCTTCCCGTTACCACAAATTATTGTGCCGTTACCTACATTATGAGAAATACAAAATAGACATTACATTTTATGTTTTTTTTAAAGATTTATCGATGAGTACAATAAACAAGGCATCAAGATATGGGCCTTGACGACGACGAATGAACCATCGAACGCGTTTTTAGCGACTATGGTGTTCAACTGTATGGGTTGGAGCAGTACCGATCAGGTAAGGGCCCGTGTAGGCGGGCAATCGCCGGGAGGGACTGTGGTAGTGAAGGCTTTGTCCGGAATCCCACAGTTCCTTCCCAATTAAGGCGAATGACGGAGCACCGGGGTCTTTTTAGTGGGTATGCCTTTGGCCTTCTGATTTGGTGAGCCCCATATAACCTACCCTGTCCCCGCAGGGTAGGTATGCAATTCAATGCATTTTTTCCCCGAAAAAAAAAGTACAGATCAGATACCTGTTTGTGACCAGTAGATGTGCTTTAGTCGTTAATTATAGCTATTTAACGGGACTATTCCCACCTCTTGTTTGACTCTTGTGTAGCAAGGATCTAAAGCTTGACAGCCAATAAAAACCCAACCAGTGAAGGTCAAGTTTGTCCCGAGGAAAAGGTAAACTGTCATTGGTCCTGCAACGAAATTTCTAGTTCATTCTAGCTATGAATGTAGGGGAGACCGAGGTGTTCACTTACCTCTGTTTCGAAACACTTTGGTCTCCCTTACCTAAGGTCAAAGACTGACTAGGTACGCTTAGGAAAGGACATCAATCAAGATAGTTACCTACTTTGTAGTAGGTTCATTCAGTTACATTACAATCAGTGCCGTTACAATTTACTTATTATTTAATTAATGATTGTTTGTTTTCAGGCAAAATGGATCGTGAACAACTTCGGTCCAACTGTTCGCGCCTCTAAGTATAACAATACCTTGATTTTTGTGAACGATGATCAACGATATATCATACCATTTCTGTTTAATGAGGTAACTCACTATAATTACTAGTCAATTTGTAATTAAGTAAAGTTACAAACTGTTTTTCTGTAGGTAACCAAAGTATGCTTGTATCACACACGAGTGAGCTCACCACAATAGTCGAGCGGCGGCGGGGACCGAAACTGCGTTCCCCGGATCAAGAGTCGGCCAGTCCGACCCCTTTACCGTTCGGCTATCGTGGCTTCGTTTTTGAAGAATTGCCTAAGTAGCACATAGCTCATAGAATTATGGCCGTCGGGGCAGAAAGGTTCTCGACAGGTGACCGTGGGCCGGAAGACGTAGTGTATCCAGGCTTCCCTTGCTGATACCGATGATCAGGTCGCGGGAATCACAGGAGAAGTCGTTGTGGAAATACTCGTGGAGGCCTTTATCCAGCAACTGCTAGACAAAAGATTCATGCAACGCCCTTAGATTAATAAAGCCTAGATGGATAGTCTTCATACAAACGCTTCGTCAAGAGTGAGGCAAAAATCTTATGTCATTAGTGTCAATTTTCTTGGGGAGTGTAGACAATGAAGGCGATTTCCCCGAAAGTAGGGAAATTTTTAATACGTTTTTAAATATTTTATAATTAACAAAAACAAAACGCATCAAGTACTTACTTATTTATTGAATTCGGTTCTATATTGGCTCACATAAAATTCTAAATCCTATTCTTTGTCTTACTACCGATTTGTGTTCATAATAATCTCTCTTCATAATTTTGTTTTTCATACTTTTTTTAATCATACATTTTTATTACTACCATCGGAGCTCATAACAGTTAGTAATCATAATTTTTTTATCAATACTGTTACTACCAAGAACCATTTAAAATACATAATTTTTATTTTCAGATCTTTTTTCTTCATAACATTCATTGATCATATTGTTTTAATTAATAATGTTGTTACTAAGAACATACTTCAACTCATAATGTTGTTGTTCAGAATAATTTACTTTATAACAGACATACTCGTATCTTTAAAAAAATCATATATAATTTAATAGAGTAGATAAGCATGCAGAGCATGCAGCATGAAAGCAAGCATGCAGCATGCATTGGTATCTCCTCGTCTCCGGCGCTGCGGGATGTGCAGCCCTTCCGCCCTTGCGTAACGAGGCTCAGGCACCCACGCTTGCTTCCGCAGCTTCGGCTTTTTGGATCGCCATCGGCGCCTTCGGCGCCTCGGCGACCAGCCTCAGCCGCTCCAGCTCACCCGGGCGCCTGAGCCTCGTTACAGCGGGCGAGGGCTGCCCTCCCTCCGCGCCTCCGGCTTTTAAATTACACTCTAGGGGTAGGGCAGACAAGACTACGTGGAGTCGGTTTTGCAGCGATTCGTTTCTGTCACGTTAGTTTTGTGGCACAAAATATTGCCTGTTTTGGACCATTTCAAATTAATTTAATGTTAAAATACGATTTAATACGAATATAGACATCATGATTTTCAATAATATGGATAAATACACTTATGAGTAATAAATTTATGAAAACAAATATTAGGATACATCACATTTATGAATATTATAGTTATTAATTCGAATGATTATGAGTTTCGATCATTAGTACCTACAGAAAAATATATGAAAACAAATATTAGTAAAAACTAAGTGTATGATTAGTGATATTATGAATATCAATGATTATGTTTTTAAATGTGTAGGTTTTAAATTTTTTATGAAGAATGATCATTATGGTATCAAATTGTATGAGAAATATTTTCGGACCTCCAATGATAGGAATTAAAAAGTTATGTAAGAAAATGCGCTACCATTGAATTCAAAGTAGCTACCTACATAATTACAATAACATAAATCGACTTTAAAGTCTCGATTTCATAAAAAAGGAAGTGTATTTGTACGGCTAATACTTAATTGGGAAATAAATTTTTCTTGTTACTGGTATCATTCCCGTATTTAATTTTTGAAAGCCAAATTCAAGCAAAATACGCGTTGTATCGTAGTACTTACTTAAGAAATGTAACACTGGTCACTTTCTTTAGTTTTTCTGATGTATTTAGACATCCTTTCACAGCACAAACCGTCTTAAATAATCAAAAGTCGTCGGACGAGTTTACCAATTTTTTACTTTGAAAGTTCATGTTACGTTTACGAGTGAGCCATTCAAGCTCACTAAAATCTGCCTCACCTTTCGTGCACTGACTATCTATCTAGACTTTATTAATCTAAGGCAACGCCATAATATTTTGTTCTGATTTCTTAGCAATTCCTTAATTGAGGAATTATCTTCACAGCTGGTAGCCAGCGACCCCAGGGTGTTGAACTACATAGATGGAGTGGCTGTGCATGGTTACGCGGACCTAGTGATCCCCGCATCTATATTGGAAGCAGTCACCAACCTGTACCCGCAGTTGAAACTGATGATGACTGAGTTTTGTGAAGGTACCTAAGTCTTCTTTACTTACTTTAGTGGAAATCCTTGGGGGAGGCCTTTGTCCAGCAGTGGACATTATTTCGCAAAGAATGTATCAATGAACTCGTCTCGAATGCTCGATTTCTTTAAAGCACAGTTTTAAACGGCAGAAAAGTGCGATTGCGGTCAAATACCTGCCTTGTCTAGCATAAAAAAAAAAGTGTAGGCAGGCCTCTTACTCGATGGACCGACGATCAAGTAAAGGTCGTGGGAAGCACCAGAATACGGGCAATGCAGGACCGGTCGTTGTAGAAATCTTTGGGGAAGGCCTTTTTCCACCAGTGGACGTCATTTGCCTGAAACGAATACAGGGTGTTCTAGAAAAATAATAGTAATATTAGCGACGTTTGACAGTAACACTAACACACATACTTTATCGCTAATTACTGTGTTTGCCATTTTATTACCACCTACACCTACTAATTTGATTTTGAACCTTACAGGATACCTCTCGCCCACACAGAAAGTACTATTAGGCTCTTGGGATAGAGCAGAGTCATACATTAAGAGTATATTAGGGGTAAGTATTTTATTTATTTATAAAGGGTTGCAGCCTTGCAGCAGAATGCCTCCTCATTACGTTCAATGTTTTTTGAGAATGAAACCTTAAACTGGAACCGGTTTCTTCTTATATTCTCTTTGAATTCTTATGAATTCTTATGAAGACTCATTACGAATTACGATACTCATATAACTTTTTAACAGGACTTTATTGTTTCTATCTCTCTAGAATTTGAACTTCGGCGCAGCAGGTTACGTCGACTGGAACCTTTGTCTAAACCAAATCGGGGGTCCCAACTGGGCGCTAAACTTCGTGGACTCCCCGATCATAGTCTTTCCAGAGGCTGGGGAGTTCGTCAAGCAGCCCACGTACTACGCCATGGGCCACTTCTCCAAGTTCCTACCTCGAGGGTCGAAGAGGATCCAAGTTAATATTTACAAGTCGCAGTACGATTCGAACCTGCAAAACGTCGCGTTTGTGACGCCGCTGAACACGGTCGTTGTTATTTTATATAATCCGTAAGTACACCTGGTTGATGATGTCGTCCCTCCACCTTGTGGGTGGACGTCACACGCTGCGTTTTCCGGTACGCGGCCTCCACTCCAGAACTTTGCTGCCCATCGGCCTTCAGTTAAAGGCAAGGTAGCAGGAAAGCGCTGGACGCAGGCCGCTACCAAACGGGTAACATGGAAAGCATTGGGGGAGGCCTATGTTCAGCAGTCGACGTCCTATGGCTGAAATGATAATGATTGAGAGTGCTAATGATAAAGTAGCTAGGTATTTTATCGGCAAATAAACAAGTACCCAACTTTTGATCGACAAGTAGACATCAGCTGATTAAATAATGTCAATTCATTTCCCCAGAATGAATGGAAACAAAGGGATTTTCATATTCAATTTTTCCATGCCCATTGAGGTCTATGTACTAAATCCATGACGAAAGGATGATGGGCACAAATGTATGGAAAGTGGTACCCGCTCCAATAGCCATAACCAATATATATTTTAAAAGGCCTTTAGATGTAGGAAAATGTCTGCTATGGGGCCAGTTCTAATTCACGTTTTGAAAGCAGTAATTCCACTAAGTATTATAATGAAAGTATAACACAATCATCCATGTATACGAGTATGTATTATGACTACAATCTATTAATATAACTAAAAGAAGCATTGAAAAGGAAAGGATTATACCTACGATGAACTACCCAAGCTATTAGCCCTTTATTCGCTTTCATCAAAATCATCATGATCATTTTAGCCGTAGGACGTCCAGTTGAACATAGGCCTCCCCCAATGATTTCCACAATGGCCGGTTGGTGGCGGCCTGCATCCAGCGCCTTCCCGCTACCTTTATGAGGTCGTCGGTCTATCTTGTAGGTGGACTTATTGGGTCTTGTGGGTTTATTCGCTTTAGCAACTCATCATAAAACCCTTAAGAAGTAATAAAACTTTAACCCCTTTATTAATAAAAGTTACACCCTTGTTGAACTCTAGCTTAAATTGTCATTTGGTATGGAAATGTCATTTTAATCCAAGGTTCTTCCTAGGTGTAACTTTTTATTAATAAGGGGGTAGTACTTCTTTAAATAAAAATATGTTTTTCACAATTATCCCCATCAATAATTATAGAGTTAAGGAAGGATGCTGGAGCAGTAAACCCTTCCTGCCTCGCATAACCTAAGTACCATACGATGGACACGTATGATACTTCTTCTTCTTCTTCCTCGGTCCCTCACTGATGAGGATCGCGACCACAGATAGTGTTCCTCTACAGACTGCGGTCATAAGCTGTGTGGACCGCACGATACTAACTTCCGCCCACCGTCTTCCTCACCGCGTCCGACCATCTCGTCGGTGCCCTGCCCCGATCGCGTCTGCCTTCCATACTACATATATGATACTTAGGTTGCACAAAAAGTATCTTTATCTTCTAACGCAACCAGATCTGAGGCTGATGGTCATAGTAAATGTTGTTCGTCTTGGTAAGACCTTTCCGGGTACCATTCTGCAAAAAAGTATGTATATCTTCGTACACAACCAGATCTGAGGCTGGTGGTCATAGTAAAAGTTGTTCATCTTGGTAAGACCTTTCAAACGATACTAGACACATATCTATTGGAGCCGGGTACCATTTTGCCCATTGTCCTTTTACAATTAAAATAACTTCTAAGTACTTAATTTAACTTAGTCAACATGACGTTTACACGCTGTATGTATTAGGTATATCCTGATAAAGAAAATGGAGTCTTAGGAGACACATTATTAGAACCTATAATCTAAACTAAGCTTAGATTAACTATCAGGAACTTATCTATCAGTTAAACTAAACATTTTTGGTTTGAGACTCTCGATATTCTCGCAATGAGATATCTGGCAAAGTCCGCGAAATAGCAAGTGTTATTTGTTTAGCTAAGCTGGAGTTAAGGGTTTCCAATTACGAGTAGGTATGTCAGGTAACTATCTGAAACGTTAGCAAGAACTGGTGAACCAGCAATCTATAAAAAATATGAATAAGTACTAAGGAACTAAATTAACTATGATAACAAATTACTTTAACTCATAATAATTTGCAGGGCAGCTGAGACCAGAGTTATTATAAAGCTGGGCAGCCAAGCGGCCACAGTGTTGGTTCCCGCACAGTCCGTGATGACCGTAGAGATGGTGCTTGATCAGTGAGTACGCCCCGTCTATGCCCCACACATGCTTGTTAGGTACTATTTTGTCTCTCCTTATGTCTCTTGATTAGGTTTCTACTATTAGAAGTTATTATTAAGGCGAAAGTGAATAGGTACTTGTAGGGCAGGTATGTACCATCCTAGACTGCATCTCACTAACGTCAGGTGCGATTGCGGTTAAAACCTGCCTTGATCTGCGTAAAAAAATCTTCTGCTCCTTTTCAAATTCAAATAAATTCAAAGTGTTTTTTAAGTATAATGTTCGAAAACAGTGGACGTCTTATGGCTGAAAATGATTATGATGATGATTAAAAAGTTGTGTTATCTTTATCAGGACTCTATTTGTATTATCTGAATGGGCAGTGACTACCTGATACAGGTACCTATATTTTTACTTACTATTAGGCAGTCACCACATTTTTTGTAAAGAATTAGTTTGATAACCAATAAAATATTTATGATTTTGATTTTTTATCAGGACTTCGTACGAACCGAGCAACGTAAACGCTGGGCCCGAAAGTTCCCCAGACTTGAAGGAATCTAGTGCTACAACATCAACAACCTCAACAACACCACAGGTATATTTTTTGTTCTTTGACAGATTTGATTTGGTTTTATTGACGTTGTAGAAGTCAGAAATCACCGCAGCGAACTACCGGTATCTACACCTTTGAGTTTGCAAGATACCGAAAAAAACACAAACCATTGTTTAAACAAATAATGCAAGTTTTCCACGTCACACGCCCCGCTGACGCCCCATTTGTAGAGGTCGCTTTCTTCTCACATACAAAAGTCGTACGTCTCCCCACACACATATTTTTTTAGCATAAAAAATTACACAAAAAGTACGATGTTGTTTCAGTGAAGCGCCACATATCTAGTAGAGATGAAACGGATAGTTGTTTGGCCGGATACCGGATACCGGATATCCGGCCAGCTGCTAGGCCGGATAGCCGGATATCCGGCGGCCGGATAGTTAGTCCATTGTCTCGTTGCATGTCGTGACGAGTTTAGCGCCGCACAGGTGCTTCGAACGCGACCAGTGGGTCTATTAGTAGATTAGACTAGTCACACTTTTTGAAAATCGAATCCGTCCGAATAGAATGTCAAATTTTGCCACTTGTCTAGGGGGCAGATCAATTCGAGCGATTTCGGTTGCCATCGTGAGTGTGTGATTGAATAGCGAAAATTAATTTAGTTTTGGTACTTGCTGCGTAATCTGACTGAACAGCATCATGTCATCAGACCATCAGTGAAAAAAAGATCACCTATTTTATTTGGCAACTAGTTTGGCAATATTTCGACATTTAGCTTAGGCGCAGACCATCGATTTTTCGTCGGCCGATAGTTTAGTCGGGTAGTTGATCAGTATGGGCATGTATGGAAGTGCGCACACTACACCGATTTGATTTGGCCGATTCTTCATATAGTTCCAAAATACTGGACTGTCCTGTCGATGACATTAACAGTGGGGCGCCACCGTCAATACCGGATCGCTGGTTCAGATTTTTGCTATGTTGGAAACCATATAGTTGAACGATGGTAGCGCCCTCCTGTCATTGAGTTTGGTGGGACAGTTCAGCGTGGGTCATCTATACAATTTAAAATCGGGCAGAACTATTGGTCAACTAAAAATCAGTGGTTTGCGCCCAGTCTAAGAGTAGGCGCACACCGTTGATTTTTCGTCGGCCGATAGTTCAGTCGGGTTGGGCTCTCAGTGCGCACACTGATTCAACTAAACAGTTGTATCGGGCGTGGGTGCGCAGACCGCCGATTTAAAATCGGGCCGATTGCTTCATTCGATAGAGCGCTGTTGAAGAGATCAGTCGCGTGGAATGTTTCCTAGAAATATTATATTTTTTTTATACTTAACTAACTCATACATGCGGCTTCACCTGCATGAAATTCAGTTTGATACAACAAAGAAAAAAAATCTTAATAAAAATCAGCTCAAATTTATAAATTTTTTTCAATATTAGTAGGACATAAAATAACTACTTAAATCAATTAATTAGTAATAAATTAGTTCGGTAATCTTTTATAATGACGACCGTTCCCGCCAAAAACGCGGAGCAAACTGAAGCTATCGGCCGAGTTGGACGACGAAAAATCGGCCAGTCTGCGCGCGCGTAGAGGTGCGCCGTAGTACTGATCAAGCTATCGACCGATAGTTGGACGGTACTTTAGTTGGAAGGCAGTTGGGAATCGCATTCAACTATTTAGTCGGCCAAATCGAATCGGCGTAGTGTGCGCACTCCCATACATGCTCATACTGATCAACTGCCCGACTAAACTATCGGCCGACGAAAAATCAACGGTGTGCGCCTACTCTAACAGATATTTACTATTTATGTATTCGTCATTAGAGTGAATAGCCCAGAAAAAGAAATTGGTTTTTTGAAAGGCCTTAATCCTTCAAGCTCCGCGAATCTAGACACAATAGATAATCAATTGTTATGACATTAATTAATGCCGTCTGGGACTCAATCGGTTAATATGGCTTTTTTGTAACTTTTTGGACTTTAATTATAAGCCGTCATTATTATAAGCCGTCATTATTATAAGCCATTTTATTGATATTTACCTCAAAGATCATTTTATTAATAGGACATTGTCGTAGTTTTTTAATATCTGGTATCCGGCCGGATAGTGAGTTACTATCCGGTATCCGGCCGGATAGTAAATTTAGGCCGGATATCCGGCCTACCGGATAGTTGCCGGATATCCGTTTCATCTCTAATATCTAGTGACTAAAATTCATGAAATTATGCACAGTGTCCCATCACTCACGCGTCCCTCCTACCTACCTCGAAACGTTTTTGAGAAATCAAGCGTTGCTATTTGCATTAAATTTTGGCCCACCCTGTATTGTAAATTAATTTGTTATTGTATTGCTTTTGTTTGTTTTAGAGTACGAATACGTTAACAAGACCTGCTAGCCAACCGGCATCACAAACGGCAAGCTATCCACAGGTAACCCAATCAAGCAAAATTAATAGCAACCTTTTAAAATTTTTTAATAAAAAAATGTTAAGAATACGACAGAGGTTCTGACATTAATGTCCTTACAAATAACATTTTAGCCCCGGGCAAAATCTTCTAATTTAGTAAATAATACTTGCGCAACAATATGGAAATCATTGGAGGAGGTCTATGTTCAGCAGTGGACGTCCTATGGCTGAAACGATGATGATGACTTGCTGAAATCAATTTATTTTTATTTCAATCCATCCATCCTTTATTTCTGTATTTCAGATCCGAAAAGCATCGACACAAAAGTCACCAACCCGGACAAGGACCCGAGGATAGCAAGATAATTTACGAATGGACCCACTAGGCATATTGCTTGAAATAATAAAATTACCCTACCTCAAACTAACTCTATCAAACTTTTTATTTGTTCCTTAGGGTTCAAATAAATCCTCAATTTCTCAATAACTTCAAAATTACTAGTTTTTTTGCTAGACTTCTGCGCGTTACTGAAAAAAGTGTTTTGGCGTACAGTGGACTAGCTACCCATTGCCATTTTTTCTCTCGCTCTCATTTAATGGTGATTCTTTGGGTTAGAACGAGTTGACATGACTGGAAATGGTTATCTGGAACTGTGGTTGATTGTACAAAAAGAGACCCAAATATGTACTTCTATTAATTTTGTCGAACGGAATCCTACAGACGAGTAAATAACTATTACGTTCTTTCTGTTTTCATTGTGATAAAGAACCCCTAAGGCGAGTCAAAAATCAAAATCAAAATCAAAAATATTTATTCAGTTTAGACCACAAGTGGCACTTATGAACGTCAATAGAAAATAATAAAAAAAGAAAAGGTAGCCCTTATGGGGCACTTTACATGTCTCCTTATCTTTTGGGCCTTACCAGCGCTTCGAGACAAACATATGGCAAGTGCTGAGAAGAAACGCCGGAACAAACTCAGTCACCACTTATTGCCAGGAATTATCTAACGTTAAGAATAGTCTAAGTAGGTACATCAAATATATGCAGACTGAACNTTTTACATATTATACCTACTCGTGTTTCATTATGAATCGAAATATAAAAGACTTATTAAACTCTATTAAAAATTTAAATTAATTTTATCAAGTTTGAATACCTCATTCTACCTTAAAATTAATAACTTAAATCTTAATACGGTCACGGCTCAAGATTTTTTTGTCCATTTCAGCGTTCTTTTTACTCTTTTGACGTTGCGTTGACAGCTTTTACCTAAATTCGCGCGGAATATTTTTGTGAAATGGCTCTTAATAATTATTATCACTCGCTATCACGCGACTGAACAATGCGTAACTATCTCAAGTATGCATTTACATTCAATGGGTATCCAACGGCACTTTAAGTTACATTGTAGCAGTTTATGTAGAGGAAATAAGAGTGGTTTTCCAATAAAAATAAAGTCAGATTGTATGCCACTTCCTAGTAACCATCATTGCTGTTTTCAGCTTCGCGCATCGTGTGGTTAGATCAATTTGTGTAGGATAGCAAATGCTAGAAATATTATTGAGTTATTAAATACTATCAATGATGTGGAGTCTACGAACCCTGGTACAAATCTGTCTGACATAGCTCATACAAACATTGAAGAAGAGAAAGAATGTTTTCCCAGATAGAAGAAAATCTGAAAAGTTATATTTGAAAATTAAGGCACAAAAATAATCTGCCAATAATAGCAAAAACCAATAAAGAAGAAGGAGACAGTTAAGTGAATTGTATAAAAAACAACGTCATAATACTAGAATACTAGATCATATTTACTTATAGCCATTAACATATTTTAAGGAGAAGCTAAGTATGAAACTGATCTTGAGAATACTAATCATACAAGTTATGAATGATCAATAATCATGGATAGAGGAGGAAGATATTTAAGGAAGCAACTAGAATTACGGAAACCACAGCTACTTGTCTAGATAATATTTTCTCTAGCTGTGTCCCTGACAATAAAGCTGTCATACACAATCTTACGTCAGATCACTGTGGTATTAAAGTAGAATTTATTTGTAATAATTTGAATAATAAAAGTAAAAAAAATGCCGTATGTAGACCTGTAACCATTAGTCGTCTAGAACGTTTTAAAAATAATCTTGAAAATAAATTGCATTTAGTCCCGTATGTGCAGGGAGACCCAGATGCTCTTTACAATAACCTTTTCGAATGTATTAAAACCGAACATGACAAAGTTTTTACGGTAAAGCCATTAAAACCAAATACCAAATCAAAGTTTAGTGACTGGGCTACTAAGGGAATATACAAAAGTCGAAATACGTTATATGAACTTTATGGCATGAAAAAGTATAATAATAGTTTATCTTTTCTTGAGCATGTAAAAAAGTATTCAAAAATTTTTAAGAAAGTTTGCTTCATGGCTAAGTCTTTTTATATTCGGGACAAGATAGGGAACGCCAGTAATAAAATAAAAGAAACTTGGAATGTTATCAACCGATTAGCACGTCACTACCTTGTTTAATATACCACGCAATCTTGTATACCCATTCTTATAAGATACACCATACAAGAATGCATGGTAAATTCAGTGAACTGCTCCTGAATCGAATGTACCTACTACTACTATTTCTATTTATTTATATTAACCGGCAGACAGTGGTGACTGAGTTTGTTGCGGCGCTTCTTCTCAGCACTTGCCAAATGTTGGTCTCGAAGCGCTGGTAGGGTAAAAAGATTATGAGACATGTAGAGGCTCCTTAAGAGCAAAATGACGATTTGTAAGAACTATTTATTAGTCCAAACAAATAAAGAAATTTTGACTTTGACTTTGACTTTGAACCGAAGAATAGTGAGGATTATGTCAGTTAGGGTATTACGAGAGGATCATTAAATGATTTCAACAATAAGAAACTACTGCTGTACTTATTTATGGTTGTCTCCCCATTTTGAAGAGCAAGGGAATCACAATGAAAGATAAGTAAAGCAAAGCCAAGAGGCTCAGTATCATGAGAGAGTTTAACTATAAACTCAGTAGGTGTAAGGCAACTGAGTGCAAATGATTGTGGCAATTTAAAGTTATTTGCATAAATGTCATGAAATGTAACTTAGGAGTTGAGCAATTATGTGCAGACTTGGGGTAACAAAACTTTACTTCCCTTACTGTTTTTGGTTTACATATTTTGTTCTTATAACGTAAGCCCAATTTTTAGTAGTGAAATTATATCTTTCAGTGTTGATAAGTCAATAAATATACCTGTTATTAATTCATGTAGAATAGCGTCTACAAAATTATTTTTCAGAAAACAAAACGAATCTGTCGATGCGGTTAAGTTATCCATAACAAAATCGATTGGGTAGATCGATTAAAATATCCAAAGTTATCCAAAATTATTCTTATAAGAATAAATCGTTCATTAAAATGTATATCAGAATCAGAAGATTACTTTTAAGTGTAATAAGAATCTTATAGGATTCTCATAAGGGATTTGCTGTATCCTACTACAAAAACAAAACTGTACCATTGCTAGCTACAAGAGTATACCTACCTGCTTCATGATTATACCCTAGGACGACAGCACATCAGACTATAATCTTTTTTGCAAAATAACAACTTATTACAACTAGTAAGATGCTACTGTGTTTGACGTGCCGTCGTCTGTTCATCTTCACTTATTTCTATATTTCCTTGTCCAATCTGTACATTAAGGCTGGGTTAGGGTTATAGTCAGGGTTAAAATATGGTGGTGTAACTCAGCCTTACACTTCTTTTTACAAGCATGTTCGTCTTAAGATCTAGTACTCACATCAACACCACCGTTGTTCCACGGAGGCAGGGCGTAGTGGCTGGGGTCATGGTGGCCGCCCCCCATGTGCTCAGCCATCACCGACATCCAGTGCACCAAGCCCTGTGCCCCGCCGCCGCCCGACGTGCCTGGTGAAAACGATTAATGATTAAATAATGAAAGAAAGAAAGAGATAAACGTCGCGTTAAGACCCGTGTCTTTCTATTTTAAAAGAAAAAGATATTGCTAATTTGGTAATGAAGACTTCTCCTATTCTCAGAAAGAATAACATTCGTGATTGTTTTAGAACCCTTTCCTTCTGTCTGGGAGAGTCCCACATAACCCGTCGCCTGACTAGCGGCAGGTATGCAGTTTTAAGCATTTTTTTCACTTAAAAAAAGGAGTACAGGAACTAGCATTCACTGGTTGGGTTTTTATTGACAATCAAGCTGTAAATCCTAGCTATAAGCTTGGACATAGGAGTTGCGGTGGTGGGAAAGAGAGATGGAAAGAGAGAAAGTAAATTATCCATTTTTCCTTTGAAAAATTAGAGGATGTGCTTCCACAGTGGAAACTATGACATGATGTGTCAGGATGATAAATTCTTGACCAAAATGTAAGAGATTTTTGTCAATCTTACAGTGTGATCTATTTATAGAATCCGTCAAAAAAGACCCAATCTTATTAGAAAAACATTTTCTAGTGTGAACCATCTTTATTAGCTAGGTATCACGATTGTGTTTTGACAGTCCATTGGCAAAATTTTGCTTGGGTAACGAAGGATTAATTAAAGAAGCAAATACCTACATAAATCTTAATTTGAATTTAATCATTCTTGATCTTTCTCAGTTCAACTTTTTTGTCCAGCAGTGGGTTTGACTTACCAGTTGGCACGGCGGCGGGCTGGGCTGCCGGCTGCTCCTGCCCCCCCGCGCCCGTCACCCCCCCTCCGCTCCAGACGAACGCCGATGATGCTCCTGCCTTCTGAAACAAAGCAATGTGTGTTGATACTGCTGATGGTACAGTCAAATTTACTTTAATCGAGGAAGTTCATCATCATCATCATTTCAGCCATAGGACGTCCACTGCTGAATACTGTGTACCTACCATGAGTTTACGTTAGGTGTGCTCGCTAGCGAGTACGTCAATAATCTCTATGAAGATTTTGTTTCTTGAAAGTAGCCACTAGGGGCGCTGCACAATATGTCATACAATTAATGTCATTTTTTTACGCAGTCGCTAGCGAGCACACCTAACGTAAACTCATGGTAAGCGCACAGGCCTCCCCTAATGATTTCGATTCTCGAGGAAATTAAACACAATTAATCATGCTAATCATCAGGTCTTTTAGTTTCCACTACAGGAACGAACTTCTCCAAGTTACCAAAAGCAAATGGAGAATTTGGTCTTTACTCCTCACGCTGGCCAGATGAATTGAGGTTGCCTGATATTTGATTAATATTATTCTCCTTGAATCGCCTTTTGTGACAGTCACGGAATGATAACTAAAAGAGCTAATATACGAGTATCAACAAAAGTTGAATTAAAGCTTTCTATAATGGAATAGATTGATGTTTCAGTCGGTGAAATAATTCTAATAGGAATCCGAGCTCCAAAT